GGAGTAGGAAAATAGCTTTTTCATTCCCTTAGTAACAAGGGCCCCAACAGCAAAACCAACAATAAATGCCATGCTAACTTGTTATCTGAATTAATTGTAAACTAACGTCACTGAGAAATTGTTTCTCTCCAAATATATGTTACCTCTTGACTGGGCTAGAAGCAACTGAACCAGTGTCCAGTGTTCTGGAATACCAATGACATCACAATCTAAGACCACCCCTATGGAATCTAAGACCACGCCCCTTTGGAATCTTTCATCTTTACTTTACTCTTTTTTTTTTGTGGGCGTGGCCTTAGTTCAGAGCAACCATGGCAACGCAGGAATATACTTTTCCTAACAATTATAGGAATTTACACGATTATTGGTGTAGAGTGTGATTTAAGTTCAGAAATGGGTTCTATATGACTGGTGGGTCTTAGGATATCACTAAGAGCAACAGCCACCAACCATTTTTAAATAAAAGTCTCACTTCATCATTGGTAGTTATATAACCAGGTATATACGCCTGTCAATTTTCAGTTATCCAGGTCGTGGCAACCACAAACAGGCTTAAAGGTGCAGTAGGTGATATTTTCTAATGCATTTTTTACCATGTGGCTTAAAGGGGAACACCGTTTTTCTTTTATACCTTGTGGCCTTGATTTTACGTTATTACATCATGTCCTACTCACCCATATTAGTTTTGAACCTTCTTGCTGCAAGGCAGCAGTGCTACCCACTGCTCCATTGAGCAGCGCTGCAAAAACCCATCATAGAAAACCAGAATTCCTTATTTTTAATCTTATTACCTGATATTCTTGTATAACATGACTGTATTCTATGTTTCAAACTCTCCCTGTTCACTGTGTAGTCACACTTAAAAAAAAACCAAATGTTGCTCTTGAAGGGAGCAACATTTCTTATGTCACATCACAGTCTTCCACGTGATTATTTTTCTTACATCTTGGAGAACTGAGGATTTCAGTGGCATTTTCAAATTTGACCCCTCCCCCCTTTGCGGCTAGGAGAAATCTATGCCGAACCTTCTTATAAGCCACATGGTTCAAAGCGTGGGGAAAAAAGTAGCCACTTATAGTCCGGGAAATATGGTAATTTAATCTGATAAAAATGTCCCCCTTCTCTTTGCAACTCTACAAACCACTTTCAACTCTTCCTCCAAATTTCAATCTGTTCTCGATCAAGTCCTCTGATTCGTATAAATTTTCGTCTTTTTACTTGTTTCACTGCTAATCTCACTTTCACCTTACCAACTCTGATCTCTCTCTTGCCTTCCTTATATGTTCTTTTCATTCTAGATTATTTAAAAATCATCCCCTCCATTTAATTTCCATTAATTTCTTCTGGTTTATGCAAACCTCCAAACAGTCCTCCACCCTTCCTGGTTTTCATGTCTGCTCCTTTCCTCTGTTGGTCATAACACACCTTCTTATTGGCTATCAGTTTGGACTGAAGCAGCTGGTATCTATCAGCACTGACGAGGAGCAGAATAGCTGTCTGATCACTGATAGATTTCAGCTGGCATCCTGGTTTTCCCTTTCTGTGTGAGTTTTTTATTTTTCACCTGTTCCATTTTACATTATTACACTTAACTTCATTTTGTTTTAGTTTCTTTCTATGTATGGATTCATTGGGGAGTAAAAAACACCTGGTGAAAATTTCATGCCAATTGCGCTCAAAGAAATATTTTTACCATGAGAAATAGTGCTGTTTTTTATACTTATTTAAGCTGATCTATTGCAAGAATGGAACAATGCAATTTCAACGGGTAACCTAATAAACAATGTCATCCTGTATGTTTTTGTCCTTCCACAGGGGCATCAGCAGCAGCAAGGTGACGGTGCTGGGTTATGGCCTGCTCACCACTGACGCACGCCCCTTAGTGGAGGCTCTGAGCAGGCAACGATTTAATGTGATCGTGGTCGACGAGTCTCATTACCTCAAATCTAGGAACGCAGCAAGGACCAAGATCCTGGTCCCTCTCATTCAGAGTGCAAAGCGGGCCATCCTTCTCACCGGTACCCCTGCTCTGGGTCGACCCGAAGAGGTAATCAGACTTGATTGAATAAAAATTTAATGACCCCTCTAGAGGAAAGACGACACATTTAAATGAGGGTCCTTTTTTTTTTTTTTTATACCACAAATATGAAACAGAAATGGCACATTTCGTCAAAAAGTCCGGTATATTTTGGTCGATTGATAATTAACGACCTCACTAAGGCAAAGAAAGCTATGTGGACAAATAGATTATGAAATTCTCCTTCTTAGGATGGGAGTCTGTAGTGGGGCAGCTCAAATATATCTCCATACAGAGGTGTTTCCTTTCAGCAGAGCAGGTAGATCGCCATGGAAACTTACTCCAGAGCGGCGTAGGCTCCCATCTAATGTTGGAAAAAGCCAATTAACTCTCTCTGGCGTCACTCATCCTTCTGGATCCTGTGGTCTTATTTCAATAACCTTTGTTGCAAAAACTTCATTTACAAAGCCTGATATGAACAGACACGGCGCTGCAATAAATGAGACAAGTAATAAAAGAAGCATGTGAGGGGGGGGGGGGGGGGGGGGAACTATTGAATTTAGAAACAATAAGCAGGGGGCTATTCACAGGACCACTGTGTTTGGAGAGTGGCTGAGGCGAGCAGCCCCACTCTCCATAATGATTTATTACGCCATTGTTATATATGTTAGGGTTGCAGGTGTATGCTCGATTACAGCCATATTCCATCATCGCTGGTGTGGAAATTAAAGAAGACTTTGGGAATTGGAAATGTTGCCCGTATACAGAGCGAAGAGGGTACAGTAGCGCAGCATATACTGGAAGCACAGTTTACCCTAATGATGGGCGGTTCCCCCACCCAGACTCTTTTCTCCAGCCTCAGGAACATTTCTTTATAATGCCTCCATAATTGTTCTCCAAGCTTGTGCTATAAATGGTTATTAGTATAAATGAAATGCTGCTTTTTGAAATCTCTGTTGAATATGGAAGCATTTTTATATTCTCCTGTTTTATTTCTGGGGTGATGAGCACTGGGCAAGAGATCGATGGTGGGGGAAAAGAGCAAGATCTACTCATCCGTCAGTTGCGTTTTCTCATCCGTTTTAGTGAACTTTTCTATCTTAATCAATGATACATAAATCCCTGAACAGCATTCCTACGGCATCTGTGTGAAGACCAACTTAATTAAGGTGGCTGGACATTGTTTTCCAACCTTTTTAAACTTTTATTTGTGTTAAAACCACAAAACTCTGTGTTTAATTTGGATTTAACCGGATACCCTCATTAACAGTGCATAATTGTGATATGGCAGAAACATTTAGCATGTTTTTTTTCCTATGTATTTTCCTTTTTATATAAAATAAAATAGGTTTAGCATGCATAACCCTGTCATTCTGTTACCCCTAAATGAAATCTGGGGCAACCCATACCCTGTATAAGTTAGCTCATTTGTGAAATCTGTTTGCTAAAGATGTAAAAACTATGGCAGAACTAATGCTACGTTCAGACCGCAAGCGCTAGAGGCAGCAGAAGCAGCTAGTTTACAAGCAAGCCCTCGGAATATTTACATGCATCCTGCAGCACATCTGAGCAGCTGATGCACATAACGTGCTGCAAGAACAGCAGCTGTTAGAGTTGGAAAAATTGAACTTTTGCCGCTCGACTCGCCACATCAACCAATCAGAGAAGCTGATCTGGGAGCTGGCAGGGAGACAGACGCAGAGCTGATGTTGCAGATCGCTATGATCACTCCTCTGAAACAGTTTATTAACGCCTAGATTAACTTAAAATGCCGAAATCTGCCGGCAAAACATGTTCACTTTTGTTATCCTAGTGCCTGCAGTTTGGATTACGTACATGAAAAACACCTTCCAGCCGCTGCGGAAAACCGCAAAGAGACGACTGGGCCATAGACTGCTGTTTAGTGGGATTCCTACTGACAGCACTCCGCCGGTGTAGGGGGGTCTGAGCGGCTCTGACAGCGAAATAATATTTGAAGGCAGGATGGTAATCTGGATAATCTGACTGCACAGATTAAGTTTTCAGGTGATTTTCTCACTGAAAAACATATTAAAACTACTTTTTACTCACTGATCACAGCAAATATGGCTGCCATTGTTACAAGCAAAGAAAGGATAGTCTAGCTCCGCCCAAAGCTGTGTAATTTAATTTCTACCTACATTTATTTGTTTATTGTGTTTTTGGGAGCAATAAATTGATGCTTATTTATTTATTGAGCATTTATTTATATCTGTATTTATTTTTAGATATGGCAGAGTCGGTCCTCCATATACAGACGTTAACATTGGAGGAAAACTGTCTAAAAAAGACTAAAAGCCTTAATAATTGTTAAATCCCACCAAAAATGAGTTCATGAAGTCACTGTTTGTAATGTAAGAAAAAGTTTTGTGTGGCATACATTCCCATCCTGCGTATTATTGATGATAATTTATATTTTATTGTTCTTTAATAGGGGTGAGCATTTATTTAATGTTATCATGATCAATTTCTAGTCATGATAACAATGTCATGATGTTACAAAGTTCAGACCCAAATGCAGAAAACCGAAACAGAGAGACCAGGGAAAAGGTTTAACGGGTTTTATTGAATAAGTTAAACAGAGGGAGAAGTGTTGCTTTGAACACTGCTCAAGCAGAACTGTAAAGTGAGGGGAAGACACAGCGATTAGTTCAGGCTCAGTGGGGAGTTTGACTTGTGAACTTGGAGAAAAGGATTTGGTTGCCGACTCACGTTTCCAGAGAAGGAGTTGAATCCTTGACTCCTGTCTGTGTGCCGTGGTTCCAGTGTTTGTCTGATTCGGTGAACAGGGTTTACCCAGAATGCGGTTGATAGTTGGGGAAAGGAGAAGCTGACTGCCACTCAGATTTCCTGCGGTACTTGAACGGGTCGTAGTGGAGAATAATCCCTTTCTCAGTAAGAAGCTCAAACGATCTTACAGAAAGTGGATCCAAACCTCCTGTTTGAAACCCAGCTCAGTTTGAAGCTCAGCTGATCCTTCCAGGGAGAGAAGGTCCGAGAAATCCAGTTTGCAGGATGACTTCCTGCCGAGAGGCAAAGACAAAACAAGGTTAAACTCAGGTTGACAAAAACTCAACTTGACTCAGCAAAAACTAAGCTAGGCTAGAGTACCCAAAACTGGCAAACACTCTGGCGTCGAGGTAGTGGCATCAGCAGGTGTGTGAGGAGGCGGACCAGAACCAGGCGCCTCCTGGTGGATGAAGGGAGACAAACACAAGCAACAAAAACAGGAGTCCTGACAAACAATTTAGATTTATCATCCAAACAATAAACTAAAAAAATATTTTATAATGTTTCTTGTTTGATTTTTTTGTTTTTCCACTTTAACATTGGTAAATTGTAAAAAAAAATATTATTAAACTTGGTTACTAGAGGATGTTTAGTGCATTAAATCCCACTTCTTTATGTAACTTGTGCCCTGAAGAAGCCGATTTTAAATTTGTATATTTCTACAATATTTTAAGGCCATCTGTAATACTGTTCTTCTTGTTAGTGCAACAATACGTACTTTCAAAGATTATAAAAAACAGTTTATAGAAGAATTAAAGTAGCTTGTTTGCTTGTTAGTTTGAGTTTATGCTCAGAGATTAAGATTACATTTTGGTGGCTGCGTTGTTTATGGAGAACAGGTGTATTGTTTCTCTGTCTTGTGAAAAACTTAATTAATGCCTGCATGGCGATAATTAACTGATGAATTCAAGCATCTAATTAATTCTAAAGTGAAAGGAAGTTATTTCTTGTTAGACATTGGCAGTAGGGGTGTTATTGGCAGGGTGAGCCTGCATGTTACAGCCGGTGTGACGAATGCCATCCTGTCTTCGCCGGTACCTGCCTGCAGTAGTGGGGTTAGTTTTTAGATATCATCTCTTTCTGTGCCACTAGAGCCGAATATAACATTTTATCATCCGTGGCATAAACCTGATAAGCCCTGTCCCTGCCTCTGTGCCAGTCTCCTCTGCTGCCATCATTACTCACCGTGGGTCTAACATGGAGCTCGCACAGCGCCCAGGGCATGTTGCAGCGTTCGTGACGTGCCCTCATTCCTCCCACCCCATTAAATCAGCTTTCTGAAGGGGAGAAAATGCAAAACTGCTGTTGAACAAGTGCTGAATTTAGAACAGCGATCTTGGCTGCAGCTGCTTATTCAGCTCACCTCGCGGGATATTACCCGTCATTATTTCGGAAACGCTGGAAATTGGTGAGATGGGGGAGCGTTCGCTCTGAGTCAAACTCTTTCCGGGGGCTCTGATGCCAGCTGTGATGTAGACGCGCTCTATACCTGTTAACATTTGGCAGATTTGCTAAAGAATCTCAAAATCTTTCATACTTTTGAGCTGATTTGTGCCGTTGCATTAATTAATTCAATTCAGCATCTACTGAGACTAAACGCAAAGTTTTGACCCTGCTGATCTGAAAAATGATTACCTAATTGAAATTTCTACAAATCGACTTTTTTTATATAGCTTTCTTTACCTTGAGTATTCCAGTAATTTACCTGAAAAGTGAAACTTATTAATTCTATAGATTCCTAACTGCTCTGCCTTAGTTATTGATTTTTGGTAATGTTGATGATCAGGGCTTAAAGACGATCAATAAAGGGGTATTTTAAGCACATGCTTTAAAATGGTTTACTCCGTCATGCGGAAGACTGTTATAAAAATCCATTGCCTAAGGAGCTGGCCTTTCAGGGTACGGCTATATCTAAGCATGCCGGTATATATTAAATCGTCTTGCTACTAAAATATGCTACATAGATAAACTTGCCTTGCCTTTTGCAGTAGAAAGTTGAGTGGAAGGAAGAAGTATTTACAAGTAGCAGGAACAACTGTAGCCCTGGATTGTGAGGTTTTTGAAAGGTTCTTTAATTTATAGACTAATTATAAAATAGAGTTTTAATGCAAAGGGTTATACCTGATTTACACTACCCCTCTGAAACCGATCCATGCCCAGTTAACAGTGCCAAGCTTGGTTCTTATGACCATTTACACATCATGCTAGCACGGTTCCTCGCCTCCTACTGGCGGTCCATGATACTAGAGCTCTCAAGATGGGAATTACGCAAACAAAAATGGCGGCGCCATAACATTCAGGAACTTATGTGGCTGGATAGCGACCTCCGCCCTGATTTCAATGAGAGCCTTTGTCTCAGCATCATCCCGGGTCGCACCACGCTCTTTTGATGCCAGTTATACTTAATAGGGTGAGAAGAAGTTTGTGTTGTAAACAAGTGAAGTGATCTGTGAATTGCTCCGCCAAAAAAACACACACAAAAAGTTGGTGGTGTGTTCTGCACTCTTTAGCCCCATTTACATTACCTTCTGAAAACCGATCCGTGCCGTTTGAATCAGTTAACAGCGCCGAGCTCGGTTTACACACAATGGTAGCCCAGTTCCTCGCCTCCTAGTGGCGATCTACGGTACTACTGCTCCCTGGAGATAAACCAGCAAACCAACATGGCAGCGCTTGTAACATTCAGGAAGTTTGCAGAGAGTCAGGTGAAGAAGGCAGCCTTTGGTGAATTTGCATGACAGAGTCGGCTTTTGGAGTGTGGACACGACAAATAGTCTAGTCAGGGCTTACAGATGCAGGAAACAACGACAGACGTTGATGTTCATCACACTGCTAAGCAGAATCATCACTGGAAATCGTGCGGCATGGTAGGGAACTAGTATTTTTATGAATCTCTGAATTTCATGAGTGGTCTGCTCATGCTCTCTTTGTTATCAAAGAACCGCGCCAGAACTGAGCCTCACCGAGACCTACTGATGAACTAGTACCATGTTGGCGTGGTTCGGTTGTGTCTGGCGCAGTTTGGTTCAGTTCTGCGTACCATTTACACTCAACAGTTCTCTCGGTTACCGTCCTCTGACCATTCTCGGCATGGTTTCAAAAGGGTAATGTAAATTGGGCATTCAAGTTTGCTCTCATTACAATTAACCAGAGTAATACACTAACATGTAATATGCCTATAATTGTGTTTGCTGCCTCACAGAAGGGAAGAGAGTTGCATCTATGGCCCAGATCGTTGCATGTGCACAGAAATAGGCATTTTACAACACAACAGTAATGGTAAAGTCCTGCAACATGCACTCTGGACAAGCAAACTGTTAAGGTCATGAAAACGTGTGACACATTTTTTGTTAGTGAAGTGCAAAATTTAAAAAAAATTACAATCGTAATATTTGGTCGGAAAAAACACAATTTAGAGTTTGCTGTGTCAAGTTTACTGCAACAAACTGCTGCAGGAGTATAACCAGGAAGTGAGGTAGGAGGGCAAAATAGGTTTAGCGCCACCGCAGCACGGGAGGGAGAATTACGCCCAGGAGCAAATGGATAAAAAAAGACCGGAGGAAAAAAAAAAAACATGAATCGATTTTCTTGTGGACGTGTCGATGCATCGGATCATCGGCTGTTGGATCGATGCATCGATACAAAACGATTATTATTTACATCGCTAATCAAAACCCATCACTGACATCATTTAGCCCTGAAATAGGGTCACAATGACCCTAATTCATTACTAACTCAACACTGTGCAAGTTTTGACCCAATTATTTTAGGAAATAATTTTTTTAAGTTAATATACAGCACTTAATGGGCACGGATTGTCTGTGTGGGCAAGAAAAAATGTTCGACTTCTTCACTGAGTCATGTGACCTGCAGTCTGAGTTCCCCTTAAACACAAGACCAAAACAGCTGTTAAACTTACCTGATACGACATATTTTCATTTGCTTTCAGGGATAGTAAATCTAGAAGCAACCAGTCTAGCACCCCTAGTGGCTAAAGCTTACACAGCGTTGCTATAATCCAATATTTCCTACATTAGACGAGCTAATGATGTGTTTGAACATGTTCACGTTGCATTTGGTTTGGCATGAAATCACACGGAAAATGTATCACCCTTGTGCTTTTCACAGCTTTTTATGCAGATTGATGCCCTCTATCCCAGGAGGTTTGGAACGTGGACAGACTACGCCAAGAAATACTGCAACGCCCATTACAGGTGACATTTTCTAAATGTCTTCATATCCCGTAATTGTGGCAGGTAGACTTGTGGTTTCGTGAAAGCCTCCAGACATTTGTAAATCACTAAAAACTCATTTCTGCTTCCTAAAATCACACATTGTTTGGCAAGCCTTTATTATTTTACAGACTTCTACCCTAAAAGCTCTTCTTTAAAGTTTTTTTTTATAGCTTTAACTTAAAATCATACATGTTTCTGACCATATATTAATGCTATTTACTTTAATATCATTATTCTGTGAACAATATGTTTGATTACTCTTTTAACTTGCATTTCAAATATTCATCTTTTTGTAAAAATAATGGAGATTATGGAGGTTGCTTTGATTTTTAAGGATTTAATTTCAGTTTTATTGTGCGTTCTGTCACCCATATTTTCTGTCTTCGCTTTTTGGGGGGGGGAAAAAAGAAATTGACCACATAATCACACTGCCACTACTATGCTTGGCCTTTGTAATATGCAGATTCTATGGAAATAAGATTGTAATTCCTTTGCCATATTGTGATCAGTATTTCTCATTCAAACTTTAAACATTGTCACATATCTGCTAACGATTTATATATATATATTTTTTCATTTAATCCCTATTTAATTGGATAATATACATAATTTTCGAGAAGATAAAAGCGGTAGAAGTTCAAGCAGATTTAGATCAATCATTCTGCTGCAGCACCTCTAAAAATACAAAATCAAATGTCTTGATTAAGATGTAAAAAAAAAGTTATTTTCCGTGTGCTATGACTTTGACATGATGCAATGATAAATTAAATCTACATAGCTAAGACACAATAAAATCGCATATCATCATAAACCCCTGCAAAAATAAGAAAGTTATTTTTAGGAATGCAAAATTACTCATTGGGTTTTAATTTGCTGCTGATTAAATCTGTTTGATAGGATTTATTCATCAGACAATAAATAAATAAAAATTTAAATCAATGTGCAAAATAATGCCAGTGACTGCATAGTTTCAAAAGCATCATGAAAACTTGAAATAAATCATGAAAAAGTCTCCAAAATGATCAATTTAGGTTAAAGGAATGCTATTTTTATAAACACTGCTAAAGCTATAATTAATATTTATAGTATTATTATATAGTAATATTATGTATAGCTGATCAAGTTTAAAATGTTAAACTTCTTTTATTGTAGCCAGAGATGCAACTTTCTTACCGTGTTCCTTTGAAAGAGTGTAGCCTACATTTTTTTATGAGGAACCCCTGATGTCCATCTTCTTGTCGGGTACCCGAGTGAACAAAGCCTTTTTCAAACAGTCGGTTAGCTGGTTAGGAAGATCTGTTAGGCCTTCAGGTATTATTACCAAACATTCTGCTTAATTATTATCCAGAACCAGATCTGTGCCTTGACTAAATCATATCTTTTAGACCTACGGTCTATTCAATCGTCCCTTTTGCTCAGTTTTTCACAGCTGCACCTGATTATTAAGCAACAGATTAATGTGAATTCTATAATTATTTCCAGTAAAATAAACTCAGTGATTGATGTTAAAAAAGTGGAAAAATTCAAAGAGTACTTCTTAGTGTCAGACCTTAAAGCAAAAACACTTTTAATGCAGCAAATAGATTTTTTTCTTGGGATAATCCAGTTTTTCTTTGGCTCTTTGACTCTTTTTCTTGAACTCGTTAGCGTATCCATGTTAGCATAAAGCTACTATAAAGAAAATCCTAACAAAACTGAAGATAAGCCGCCTTGTGTCCATTTCTGTTTTACTCTCTTGTGATAAATAGTTGAATATATGAATAAATGATCTAAAGCTAAGCTAGTTGTTAGCACCTACGTACTCCGTTTCCCGGCTAAGCTAACTGGTTTGGACTTCAGCCTTCAAAACGTAAGTAATTATGTCATTGTTTGTCCATTTGTGTCATAGTGGCTGTGTCTGAGTGTCCACCCTAATCACTAGTGGTTACGCCCTTTTAAACCCTGAGTGAAGCTGGCCTCCCCACCTTCTTCAAATGGGTGTCAAATGTTTGTGCTAGTTTGCAGCCAAAAATTTTTGTTTGTGCCGTTAGAATTTTAAAGGTAGTGTTTGACCTCTGATGAACCCTGGAGAAAAATTGTCTTTATATCTTAGGAGCACAAATGAATTTTTTTTCTGGGTCATTAAAAATCATTGACAGTCATTAGATAATTATTTTTTTAAATTAAGGCCTTAATTGGCATTAAAATTAATTAAATTTGATAATCGTGCTTCGGAAAAGAAGCTTGAGGCGGAGAAAAGGCTAGAGAAATGGGAAAATGCAAATTTGAACAAAAGTGGTGGGAAAATTAAGAACTCAGAACATGGCTTCACTTAGGTCATTTTAAAATGAGGTCGATTTTCTAATGGGAGGAAAAAGTAGTGGACGTGATATTTCCCAAAATGCACCTTGAAAAGTATGGTCAGTACGAAACGGGCTTGGTTAGAGACGAGAGAGAATATAAAGGGAAAAGTCGAACTGACACATCCGTATTTGAACTTGATGCAAGAGATTTACATGACATTCTGTCGCTCTAACTACTGCGCCACTACTTAGCTGCAGAATCTGTGAACTGTTGAAAGTAATAGCTGTACACCACAAAACATTAGTTAGTGATGCATGTTGATGAAAAACGTTTTTACATGAAAGAATGCATGACAATGGATTCAAAATAACAGCAAAGTGCATGTAGGGGTTATATTCCTGAAATTAAGGCTTTTGGAAACGACAATGCAGTGCACTTTGGCAACATTGCCACACAGAGCTCTGTGCAGAGTTTTCCACAAAGCAAATCTGTGCTGAACTTTCTTGGACTGACTGCCTTGATCAGCAATTGGACGCAACCAATTCAAATGCATTGTCTGTCGGAAAACAAGGCAGGACCTTATCATCATATTAGGAAAACGCGTGTCTTCGACGCCTGTTGTCTGGGTAACGACGCACCTCAGGAACACGCCTTTTGACCTGTCACTACGGGCGCCAACCACACGGTACCATCATGACGGACGTAAAAAGCGCCGCTTGTTGGTAAAAGATGGAAAAAATATCGGCAACATTTCGGAAAAAAGGGCGCTTTTAGCGGGTGAATTTCTGCCTTAACGTTATAATCAGATGCAAATAGAGGCAAAGTAGTGATCCTCCATGGTTACTAGACGAGCAGATATATCCCAGAATGCTTTGCGGGGATAGCTCTCCTCGCAAAGCATCATGGGATTTGCTGTCGCTGACAGATTAAAAAGATGGCGCAGGCACCGTGCGGAGAGGTGGAGTTACGTGACAGACGGGGAGCGAAAAGAAGTGATCATCTGTCCAGTCAGTTAACTGTGTTCACTATAAAGTGCACTATATAGTCCCCGCTCCATATAGTAATTGAGGGATTTAGGGGTGAGGGTGGACGTTCGGACAGAACCAGTGTGTCTTTAAGAGTCTCTTACCAACCCATACCTCAAAATCCAATATGGCTGTCACACAACTGTTAATAAAAGGTGTCATAAACCCTTTATCTGAACATGCTTAGTTCTTTTTATTTCATTAAATCATTTGAATACTTAGTGCTCTACTGCTGTTTGTTGAAAAGTTTCTTTATTTTTTGAGTGACTTGGCCAAATGTAATGATTGTTGTTATTAGCTTGTATTGCTATTAGCAGTTAGCATGCTCACTTCCATGCAAGCATAGACCATTAAGGACTTTCCTGAGACTGAGGAGGATATTTACTGAGTCCAGACTTTAGGATTGGACTTTTTTATGGAGCCCATTATGGATTCTTAAATATGACTCTTATTCTTTATACCATTGTCCAGAAGTTTGCATGAAATGTATGTAAGCAGTATGGATATAATTATGAAACCTACAGGCAGTCCCTTTACTGAATGGGTTAGATTGGATTAGCACAATAATAAGCAAATCATTAGAAGTTTATCTGACTTAAACCTGGAACAGAGTCAGGTCTGGGGAGAAAAATTATCCCACATTTAATTTTCAACTCTGGCTACATCCAGTTAATTATAAAGTACAAAAGAGTTGGTTATTCTTTCTTTGACCTTTCTTAGTGAAGAAAAAATGTATTCTCTTTTTCATTCACACTCTATTTAGGGTTTAGTGAATGTGACAAAGTTTTAGTGGATCCACCTTTGCTTAATTGTGTCTGCTGGGATAAGGTGGACTGTGTCTGTGAGTGGAGTGGTACTGCTGCTCATTTAAGGCATTGTTGTAAGAACCAGGCCACCATTGAAGCCAAACGTCAGACGCCAGCTGGCTGGAGGTTCATGAGCGACGATCGGTTTCATGTGCGAACAAACGCTTCAAAAGCATTGCTTTGGACGTCCATCAAAGTGATCAGCTTGGTGAGGGGTGGGATGGGGGCCAGCAGTGATAACGCTTTGTATATTATAGTGTGTATCGTGGCTGGGGAATCCACACAGAGGAGGAAACGGAGCGATGCCATCTGAGCCGTCCCTGTACTCCATGTGAGAAACTAGAGCAACCTTTGGAACATAGAAACGGCATCGCTGCGTGAAGACGCCTGCTTTAAACAACATGTTTTTAGAAGTAGTAGTTTTGACGCCTTTCATCAACAGAAACTTTAAACGCTGAAGTGTGAACCAACTACTTTTGGCAGCTCCATGTGAGGTTTGTCCACTCTTTCAGCCAGCATGGCAAATAACCAACCTTTGTGTGGACAGCCAGTTCTAACAATTCATATTCTAACAAATTGGCTGATAAATTGTAAAATCTGATGGTGAGTTTGACTTGAAACCTCTCGGCTTAGCCATCAAATGAAAGTTTTCGGATTTGCAAAGTAGCCTTGGGTGAAAAGCGGGGAGCTTCAGCAGAGCAGCTCAGCATTTAATCAGTGTTGTAGTGCTGGTCAGCTCCCAGGTGGGAATGTTTAAAAGTGGCTACAGTGCTGTGCAGAAGTATTTAACCAGAAACTTCAGGGTATTTGGGGATCTTAAGGATAGAAGAAGAGGTAGATAAAGTAGAGACCGACTGTGAACGGAAGCAAAGAAAAAAAAAAACCCTAAGAGGATTCAAGTGTATTTATTCCCCCTTTCCTTTAACAGAGTGGCAAGAAAATAACCACCATGGAAAAATAAAAGTTGGCCTACAGGAAAAAAAATGACGGCGCACGATGGTGGCAGTATCATAATGTGGGGAGGCATCCGACCAAGAGTGATAACACAGAGGAAATCTGGGATGATTTATCAATTAAAGACAATTGAGGCAGAAAGCAGGTTGGATAAAAACATCAATATGGTAAAATGGTTCTTTTCTGTGTGGCTGCTGCAACCCTGCAACCCCAGACATTAGTTCATAGCTACATTTTTTTAGCAGTCTGACTTTGCTAAAGTTCGATGAGAGAACCTTATACCTACAGTTAAAGCTGCAGTCTGTAACATTGAGGAGAGAGCAGACTTCGACTGAAAATTTGAAGAAAAACAGGATTCACGCCACTCCCCCACCCTCTCTGCTTCACTCATGCCCCACCTCCAAGCTCCACCCCTCTCACAGCACCTGCGCGGCTACCGCATGCGACCAGAAGGGGGGGGGGGGCGGGATTCAGCGTGTGTGAGCTGTGATTGACACTCCATCAGACGCTCCTCTGGCTGTGATTGGTTGTTTTGACTCGTCCCGAATTATTCTTTCCAGATCGAAATACAGGCAGTAGGCGGTACCAATTGAAGCAGTTTTTTTCACAGGTGCTGTCTGGGCATAGGGACAGTTTTAGCCAATATGACAAAAAAGTGATTTTTAAAAACTTACAGACTTCAGCTTTAAAGTAAGACTCTAAGAGAGAGGCAGTTTCCCATGCGTTTCAGTGCATCTAGCGCAGGCATGTCCAAAGTCGCTCCTCAAGGGCCGCCGTCCCACAGGTTTCAGAGGTTTCTCTGCTTCAGCTGAAGCAGGAAAGCCTTTTAAACCCTGCAGGACAGCGAGGGCCGACTTTGGGTGGCCTGATCTAGCGTGAAAAGCTTGCAGAAGAAAAGGTTGTCGCTTACTGGATCAAGCGGGTCAGAGTACATCCTTGTCGCAAAATTTCCAATTAATTAAATTCAGTTTATTTATATAGCGCCAAGTCACAACACATGTCATCGCAAGGCAAAATAAACCTCAGATATGGGTAATTATGTTAATAAGAAGAAATTTTAACTGTTGTTTTTAACTATGTTGAGAGAAGATGAGTAACAAACGCTAATAGTTTTAATTTGGTTCTTCGAAAACAGCAGAAAAAATTAAACGTTTTGCTTATAGAGTAATTTTATTAAAAATTCTAATAGAGGTTTTTCTGGGTTTATTCGCAAAATATGTTAGTTTTTGCTTTGTTTCAACATATAGGGTTAAATAATTGTATTAAAGCTGTCATAAATAGTTTCACTGTTGCATGCTGTTATAGTATATGCATAGCATACAGGCTTGATCAAACGAACATATTAATAATCATGTCTCTTAACACTAAAATAGTATGTTTTATTGTTTTAATACGAAATAAAGTGTAAAAAGTAAATGCAGTGTAGAGAATATTAAAAGACATGCTTCTCAAGGTAAACGTGGGATATAAATAAATGTTTCACTACAGATTATGTCAAAATAAATTACCAACTAAATAGCGTCTTCAAGTCCTAAAAAAATCAGTCATTCTTGCTGCTGCTCCTCGGATTCGGTTTCACCTCTGTTTGTTTCTCTGCAGTGAGGCTCCGCTGGCGTCTCCTGCCTGTACGGAGCTGCTAAACTCGTGCTCGACGTCTTAATGTCAGCTGACCTTCTTACTCTGACACTGCTGCTTGCCTCTACAACAGTGACTGAAATATATCAAAATGAAACATTGCATCCTTCAGCCGTTTTAGCAGCAGTCAGTCCTTCTCACCTCATGAAAGAGCAGACATCTACAGGGGCAGAGCTAGATGGGGGGCTGGGGGTGGCCATGGCCACCCTTAGGCAGTCATTGGCCACCCCTGTGGCCACCCTACCCTCTATTCCCCCTCCAATACAGATGGTGGCAGCAGTAATACTCTCAAGTGGAATATTTAAAATATAAAAAAAAAACAACAACAAAAACACTGTTTAATTCTGCACATCAATATACTAACATTAAAGATGATAAGTACAGAATTCATGCTTTTTTCAGGACTAGATTTTGTGTCATTTGAAGTAAAGAGAAAATGATGTGTCTGCAAGTCATCTAAGAGTATTCAGTAAAATTATTGATAAATAGCTATTTTAATAAAATGTATTAAATAATCAATTTATGTAGATATTAGTACTTGTAAATATCAATTTTATGTAGAATGGTTATTGATAAAAGTAGGTAAGTAATGACAATGGAAAAGATGCAAAACTCAAAGAATCCTTTTATCTAGAAAGCATAGATGTTTAAATATTTATGCGTCTGTCAGCAAAGGTTGTAGAAAAGTATAGTTAGTCTTTATTAAGAAAATACGGATGTTGTACCTGTTCATTTTCCTGTTGTAGATTGACCCTGAGGGTCAACTTTCGGCCACCCCTCAGTTTATATCGGTTATTGCCTGACCACCCTTATAAAAAATGTATGCCTACGCCTCTGGACATCATAAAAAAAAAAAAAGCAGACTGAAAGTTCCCTTTTCTTGTTTTTAAATTTTACCCAGATTGCTCTAACTGTACATTTAAATCCGGAGATATTTCGTTGAGATTAATTTTTTTCTGTGCCATCTTTCAATTATTTAGGGCTGCAACTAACGATTACTTTGCAAATCGATTAATCTGTCGATTATTTTTTCAATTAATCGATCAATTAGCGGACAACCAAAGGTTCCTTAAAGAAGATTTTTTACTTAATCAATCCAGGTTTAACTAAAACTTTCCCATTCGAGGAATTATGGATAGAGATGATCCATATTTTTTATCTTTTATGTATTTTTTTTTTATCTTAAATGCAAAATATTTATATATTTCTTTACAATCCTGCTTTAATTACAGCACTAAGTGGTTTGCTCTGTCAGCTAAAGGCATGTTTTAGAGTCTCTATACTTAATTTAATGATTAATTGATTATTAAATCAGTTGAAGATTATATCAGTAATGGATTAATCTGATCAATTGTTTCAACAGTCAATTAATCTATATAGATTAATAAGGGAAAGACATCACAGGCACTTTAGAAAGTGACTTGAATTTAAACTTGGAGCATAATTTTGGAAGATTAGATCAAAACATATTGATGTTTGAAAGGGTCAAAGTCCTTAACGAACTTTTAAACTGTAGCTCTAAATCCAGCTGTTTAGGTAACCCCTAAAGGGAAATAGATGCACCTAATTGTTTTATTTATCTTTGCACTCCATAGCTCTACACTACTTTACATGGGTCCATCTAAACTTTAAATAAAATACAGCAAAGTTTGTGGATGAGAAATGACTAAAACTACTGCTTTTATTGTTTTATTTTTATTTATTATTTTATTTTATTTTTTTCCTACTTGCTTTGATTCTGTTTTATTTTCCTGTATTTTAATCATGTAAAGCACTTTGCGTTGACTTTGTACTGAATTGTGTTATACAAATAAATTTGCCTTGCCTTGCCTTGCCTTACTGTAATATTCCCAAATAGAACGATACCGATTTAAAGTGTTTCCTTTCAGGTATTTTGGGCCTCGCAGACAGTGGGACTGTCGCGGGGCGTCCAACCTGACGGAGCTGCACCAGCGGCTGAGCCAGATCATGATCCGTCGCCTCAAAGCCGAAGTCCTGAGTCAGCTGCCTCCTAAAATTCGTCAGCGGATCCCCTTCGACTTGCCCAAGGAGGCCTCCAAGGTGCACCTTTTTTGACATAAGTGGTAAACTTTGATAGATGTCGCTCTCAGCTGCAGATCTTTCACACCAAATGAAATAAATTGTCCCCTGCTTGTTCGTTCTTTTAAAAGTTTCTGCCTCCATCTTTAGATTTATGACATCTCTCTGTCAGCCTGAGCCTAGACGTGCTGAGCACTTTTCTTCTCCTTCATCATAACGAGCGAATCAGAGTATTTGTAGAGTAAATGTCATGCTTCTTGTGTGGGTGTTTGTATCTCTTAGTGTCTTCAAAGTCAGGGCTGCGTTTTTTTTTCCCTGCCTCCCACGTTCATTTGATTCCACCCTTGAATGCTAATGCGGCCCTGATCGGGACTGTCCGGCCCCTCCCGCTCCTTGTTTCGGGGTTGCTCTCTCATTGGGAAACAATAACAATGCCGGAGTCCACCAGGAGGCTTTTGTTATATTTTCTATCATATCAGCAGGTGAGGCGGATACAGCAGAGGTGCTTCTTCAGAGGTAATTAACGTTCAGAGCCAGGAGTGACACCACAATGAGGAGGTTGCTCAGAAAAAGTGATGATGCGGGGTTTCAGCCCGTTCTCCCTAAATGTTAAGAGGCGCTTTAATTGGGAGCTAAAAGCGGTTTGTGTTTCTACGTAGCAACAATTAGAGCAGGGAAAGATCACGCTGTGCCTTGTCGGTGGTGCTTCTCTCTGGGAAAACTTTTTTCTTTTCTTTTTAGACTCTCTGATGAATCCAATGAACATCATGTTTGTCTTGTTAAGAGAAAAGAGTTAGCTAAATGGACCGCTTTGAAGGGATGGGGAACGGAGGTGTGAAGAGGCCAAATCTGCCGCTATTGTGCTTCCAGAGAGCAGGGAAAGCCGTGCATTATATAAAGCATAAAACACATTATTTTCATCCAAACAAGCCATCCTTTGAAGCATAGTTTAGCTAACAGACAATATATAGTGAATGCCAGGGCCAGTCGCCGCCTGTTTATTCCTCCTATCTCATTTTACTCCCTAATGATGGCTTTTATCTTCCAGCGCCAGACACTTTTTATGCCCCTGCTGCCCTTTACGTTTTCAGCCCTGGCCTTTTGTCAGCGTTAGACCGGCGAATATCATCGCAGTTGGAGTGCTTACCCACTAAGGTGTTTTTTTTTTTTATGAATGCTTGAATGTACAATTTTTAATTTCTAAACAAACGCAGAAAAACAGGTGTTTTAATGCCGCTTGGAGGAACTCTCGCAAAAAAATAAACAAAAGCGAAAAACATGAGGGATGTTATTCATCATCCAATCCTTGACTTTGACGCCACAGGAATGTAAATGTCTTCCTCTAAACGGTCTAAGGCGTTTATGTTTTGCACTGTCTCGCGTCGGTAAACACAGGTGAATGTGTGTGTATGTCCTGTTATTATTAAGGCTTTCAGTTTTCCCCACTCCTCTCATTTTCTTCGGCTTTACCTTTGACTCCCCTTTATTTGCGCGTCTAATCAGGCGAGCTTCACCTCTGGCTTCTCCCGGCGTGCCATATGCTTTGCAGCTTTGGGTGATTTGATATGCAGCCCTTTGAGAAAACATGTTTTTTCCGTGGCAATATTCTGCCCAACAATGCAGATGAAGTGATGCTAAAATTAAGGAAATTGGTTTATTTAGCTTTCAAATTTCTCAAATAAAAATACATTTTTCCCATTTTTTTCAGACTTAATCTGCAACCTATGTGTTTATTAGGATTTTATGCTCAAACAAAGGCAAGGCGAGGCAAATTTATATGTATAGCAAAGACAATGCAAAGTGCTTTACATGATTAAAATACAGGAAGATAAAACAGAATCAAAGCAAGTAGAAAAAAAAGAATATTAAAAACAGTTGGACTAAATAAAATATGTTTTAGTTGAACTGTTTAACTAGAACAGTCGAAGGCAATCCTAAACAAATGTGTTTTTAGTCTTGATTTAAAGGAACTCATTTACAGTTTTCTGGAAGTTTGTTCCAGATAAGTGGAGCATAGGAACTAAATGCTGCTTCTCCATGTTTAGTTCTGGTTCTAGGTATGCAGAGCAGGCTGGAGCCAGAAGACCTGAGTGGTCTGGAGGGTTGATACACTGATAGCAAGTCTGTGATGTATTTAGGTGCTAAGCCATTCACAGATTTATAGACTAACAGAAGTATTTTAAAGTCTATTCTCTGAGATACAGGGAGCCAGGGTAAGGACTTTAGAACTGGGGTGATGTGCTCTACTTTCTTAGTCTTAGTGAGGACACGGGCAGCAGCGTTCTGGATCAGCTGCAGCTGTCTGATCCCTTTTTTAGGCAGACCTGTGAAAACACTGTTGCAGTAATCAATTCGACTAAAAATAAACGCATGGATTAGTTTTTCCAGATGGTGCCGAGACATTAGTCCTTTAATCCTGGAAATGTTCTTCAGGTGATAGAAAGCCGACCTTGCAATTGTTTTTAAATGCTTTTGGAGGTTCAAGTCTGAATCCAGCACTACACCTAGATTTCGGGGCCTGATCAGTGGTTACTAGCTGAAGCGACTGAAGCTGTGTGCTAACTTTTGATTTCTCCTCTATTGGTCCAAAGATTATTACTTCAGTTTAATCTGGCATGCAATATTTAGATGAAGAAAAAAAATGCCTTTTTTTATTATTTTCTAGGGAAGTGGATTTGTAAATCATCATAGATCCAAAACATATCAACCAAAGGAATGCAGGGAAATGATTGAAGGTTTCTTTACATATTAAAACCTGAACAGCGGTGAGAGTTTTCCTCTGATACCCTTTGAAGGAAATCCAGTACAAGAGCCTCCCTGCCACCATACCATCTGCCCAAAGTGCCACGTACTGGTAAGGAGATCATGGATTAGCAGCTTCAGAGAGTCTTAGATCAGGTTTAAGAATCTGCGGACATTAATGTATAAAAAGGGGTTACATTTCCGTTAACTGGACGGGGTGCAAAGGCTCTCTAGGAGGGTTTCAGCCAATAATGATGAGCTTAAAAAATCAGACCCTTAATGGAAGGTTTGCAGGAAGAAAGTCTCCATTCAGTGAGTTAAAGAAGCTTGTTGGAAGCAATGTGAAGGAGCAAAAACATAAAAAAGTGTGTGATCAGTCTAATTCTATGGCCAGCAGGTAAAATGCTATGAGGAGGCTTTTCTGCAGCAGTGCTGATTTGAATTGGGAAGGATACTGTAGGACAGTCCTGAATGAGAAAAAAAGAAAGTCTGATGTAGATATTCTGTAATATTTGCAGTTTGTAATCGACTAAGATGATTTAATGAAGTTTTCCCTGCATTTTCCTTATATAACGATACTTTGGTTCATAGAATGAATTCCCAATGAAATGCATTGTAAGTGTGTTTTTTTTAAGGTAAGCAGGGATGCGTGAAAGTTCTAGAGATTGTTGTTGTTTCAGGGAATCGCCCGTGAAGGCTTTCCACCGGTTTATGATTGAGCTGCGTTTGGGTAAAACAAACTCGGACTCCCTCGGCGTCTCTTGTTTATGATCGGTCAGAAACATATGCTGCTCTTCACAGGCAGCATTTCCCCACTGCGAGCTCCACTCCCGCCTTAAATACTTCTCGCCAATCACGTTGAGAGCGCGTGAGGCGGCTTTGATTTATAGTACCGGCTGGGCCGCTTCTCCATCTTCGACCTCGACTTGTCACAAGGCAGCTATAATTGGGAGGAGCTCATGACCCACCTAGCACAGCAGCCCAGTCGGAGGGGGAGGCATCCCTGGGAATTCTCCATCTCTCGTCTTTTTTTCCTCTTTCTTTCTCTTCCAGAAAAAAAAAGTAGGACACCCAGCAGCACTATTAATTGTTTTGCCCTTTATATCTCAATAACAGGAGAGAAGAAAAGGGTGGATGAAGGATTAAAGGACACATCCTCACTGTCTTTGTGTTCTCCTTGTATACAGGAGGCCTCGGCCAGTTTCGCGGAGTGGGAGAAGCTGATGAAGGGACTGGGGTCAGGGGTCGCCGCTACAGAAAACCCCTTCACAGAGGTTATGAGCCTGGTGACACAGATGTACAAACAAACAGCTATTGCCAAGGTAATGGGAGACCAGATAGTGTCTTTATTTACACGCCGTCTCATCTCACAGTCCAGTAATTAGTTGATGAATTCAACGTTTCTGTTTTTTTTCCTCTTGATCCCAAAACTATCAGACAAAATACTTTTAAACTAGTGGCTGACTTTATTGTCCAAAAGTCTTCATTTTTACCCACTGCTGCCATTGCTGTGCAAGCTCTTCAATGGTGGCAAAATAAAACAAAACACCCTTTTAATCATTCTCTCTTCAGCTGGTGATAGTCCTGCTGCCAGATGGACAATCCTTATTATTTTTTAAATATATAAAGAGGAAACGTTCTTCAATGTGCAGAAATATTACGTTACAACCTAAAGCTGCAAGTAGGGCTGAAACAAGCAATTGGATTAATAATGATTATTCGATTATTAAAACAATCTATAACTGATTTAGTAATCGATTCATCATTAACTTGAATATAGAGACTATAAAACATACCGTTACCCGAAAGAGCAACCTACTCAAAGCAGCATTATAATGCAAAATATATAACATTTTGCATTAAATGTAAAATAACTTTGTTGTCCATTAATATGCTATATCCTAAAGTCCTCAAAGGGAATAATTTTAGCTTCATTTGGTTTAAATTCTATGTAAAATCTTCTTTACGAAGCCTTTGCTCATCCGATTATCAATCGATTAAATCGAAAAAAGAATCAACGGATTAATCAATTAGCAACATAGTCACTAGCTGCAGCTCTAGCTGCAAGAAATGATCTGAAAAATGTTGGAGATGCTTAATTCTAGGATTTCAGGTTAACTATTTTTTTTTGTTTTATCTTGCAGGGTTTCAAAGCTCGGCTTTACCCTGCAAGATAAAGTCAGTGTTGTAGTTTGTCTTAAAGGTGCATTTTTACAAGTAAAAAAGGATGTTTTCCTTTCTCATTCATGACCTTACAAAACAAAGTGTAAAATAAGCTTTTCTCTGTTTACTGAACATGCCTTTATAGCCGGAGGCTGCAACCTTTCCAATCCAAAGAGACATTTTTATCTTCAGGTCCAACTGCTAAAACTCGTTTAGAGCCACAAATATTACATGACCTTCTTTAAAGAGAGAAAAAAAGATCTACCAAATGTGTCCTTTTTTATAAATAATCATTGTGCCATTTCAAATGTTAGGTTTTTTTTTAATTAAGGAAAAACATTTATAAAAAGAGATTTATTTTTTTATGATGAAATTGATTACATTTTCAGAAGATTTTTTCTTCTCAAAAAAGAAAGAAAATCTGTTGTATTTAGAGTATTTAGACTGAATGTAAAAAAATATAATTTTCCAAAGATTAGCTGGCTCATTTTTCAGCCAAAGCGATGAAGAGCCATTGTTGGTTGTCCAAAGGGCAACGTGCTGCAGACCCTTGCTCTAAAGGCTCCATTAGTTGGTATTTCAGTGAGTTGCTGGGGCTGCAAAGGGAAAACGGGGGCGTTGGTTTGTAAAGACGGATCATAATGACCAGCCACAAGCACACCTCAAACCCCATCACGGACTCCACACATAAAAACGAAATAAAACTTTTGTCTAGTGTGACAATAAGGGCCAAATTGAATTTTTGTTAACGATGAATTATATGGAATATGAGATTGAATATCAGGGAAGGAAGCTCAGATTTGGCCTAGGTGTGGCCCTCTGTTTGCTATAAATGTATATAACGTCAGTATTTATAACTTTCTCACCCAAAATGGCATTAAAAGCAAAAGACCTGTGTATTTGCAACAACAAAAAAATTTGCTTCATCTCTCCTCCCATTCATGAGCTCAATATTGGTGTCATTTCAACGTGTTACCACAGGGGGCAACGTCCTCAAAACTCTGTAACTTGTGCTATGCCCCTATAAAGCTATTTATTTAGGCTGATTTCCTGTCTAGTTTCAATTGTCAGCCCTCTTTATCGAAAGTGTAGATCCCATTACAGCCGGAATAATAATTTAATTCAATTTATTTCTATAGCGCCAATTCGCAACACATGTTGCCTCAAGCCACTTAACAATTTTACCAGATCATCCAGTAAAATTGATTCAAAGTTTTCTATCTAAGGAAAATCAGTATATTGCATCGTGTCATTGACTCTTCAGCAATCCCTCACACTAAGCATGCTTGTAGCGACAGTGGAGAGGAAAAACTCCCTTTTAACAGGAAGAAACCTTCAGCAGAACCAGGCTCGGTGTGAGCGGCCATCTGCCGAGGCCGACTGGGGTTCAAGGAGACAGAAGCAGAGATACAAAAAGCAGCCGTTAAAGGCGGCCCCGTCCAGGAAACACACAGCCAGGCAGACGAGCTCCGATCCACCTCCCATGTCAGATAATGAAACAGAGCACATCCAGAGAAACAGGACCACACTGAAAAACAGGCCGATCTCTAACATCTATAAACACAGGTGTTGATGGCAGCTGCACAGCTAATATTTCTCTCCAGGATGGAGTCACAGCCAAACAGGAACAGACCAGATGAAGCTACTATGAGAAAAAGTACAGAGAGAGCAGAACGTTAGAGATTGAACTAACAAATTCTAAAAAAGTGGGCGAATAGCAATAGAACCAAGCAGAATGATGGAATGGAGATCCCTATGTCCTCCAGCAGTCTAAGCCTATAGCAGCATAACTATAGAGATAGCTCAGGATAACCTGAGCCACTCTAACTATAAGGAACGTTTTAAGCCTAGCCTTAAAAGTAGACAGGGTGTCTGCCTCACTGACTTAAACAGAGAATCTATCTATATATCATTCTCTTTTAAAGTTATTTGTTTATAAATTACTCTTAAAGGTCTTATTCTGATGCAATGCAAGTTCAAACAAAGCATTAGAGTTTACATTTTTTTTTCACTCCAGAATTGCAAACCTTATTGCCACTTTGGAGATACACCAACAGCTCTTTATAGTCATGAACTTTAGTGAAAGCATACATTGTTTACATTTGTCTGCAAATGCAGATCTAGAAAGTCAAGCATACCTTTGTGCCAACCTTCTTACATTTAGATAAAATCCATTCCAACAAACTACTTTCTAGTTAACGAGCAGAGTCCACCTGTTTGTGATATAATCACAGTATAAATCAGCTGTTGCGACAGAGTTAGAGGTCTGTTAATGAAAAAAACAGTGTCATGAAGACCATTTACAGTTAGCCACAGGCCATAAAGGGGACACAGTAAACATTTGGGAGATCGTGCTCTGGTTTGATGATGCTAAAATTAAAGTTGTTTGGCCTAAATACGAAACGCCATGTGAGGACATAATCTTAACCCTGCATATCCACCCTGGATATAACATCTTGTGAAATGTGGTCATGCTGTGGGGGACGCTTGGGGTACAAGTGAAAATTCATGACAGTTCTGCAAAATAGGTGAGACTTGACGTTTACCTTTGGGTAGAATAACCTTAAACATACAGAAAGGGCTACATGTCATAGAGTGGCCTAGTCAAAGTAAAAAAAAAAAAAGGAAGATTTTATAGCTTCAAATAGAGTTGTTTTATTTGATGTTACAGGGGAAGTGGTGAATTGGTGTCGCAGCACCGTTCTCAGCGAGATCTCCTGGGAAAACATCGCCATGGTAACGGAGCCTAATGGGGACCGGTGAAAGCACTCAGATAAAGTAGAGAGTTATAACCGAGGTATTATTTAGTTGCGTCCAGCCGGGCATGATTACGCCTTATATCAAAGTTACACGCTGCACTAAAATAAGCATCTCTATGATGCTGTTGCCATGGCGACCTGTTTCAGCTCACAGTTTAAAAGAGATGTTTTTTATAATGAGAGAGGGAGAGAGAGAGAGAAATGGGGAGAATAAGCACTGCGAGAAGGTGGCTGGATGCATCCTTAAGGAGGGAGGCTGGGGTCAGAGCGGCTAGAGTCGTACATTCATTTACCATTCCCCCCCCCTCTTCTTCAGAAGAAATATTGCTGCTGGAATAAAGCTTCCACCATCCGATCAGCCTCCTCCCTCGCCGATCATGGGGCTCTGAGAACAGGCGTCTCCTCCGTCTCCTGTATTTGTAGGTGCATAAACCGCCATCTGCCTCGCATTCTAAGGGCTGGCATTCCTCTCAATTAGCCAAACTCCCTCAGCCATGAGGAGCATCGCCCCGAGGTTAACAAAGACCGGAGATAACTACCAAATGCAATCATCGACACATTGCTCGCTCAGCCTGCCTCCGAGCTTGGATCTTTGTTTTGCGCTTGGTGTTGTTTACTGATTGGATTTCTGCTAAGTTTAGCCTAAGTCTGGACCTCCTTTCATTACATCCACCTTAAAGCCAATGCTCCCAGACCAATCTCATTTCCGTTCAGAGTCGAACACACTTTAGCTACTTAAGACAGAGAAATAGCTTCCCTTTTTGGATCACTGGGAGGGGTGGAGTGGTGTGATAAGTTCTAACATGAATGTCGCTCTGAGGAGCATCGTGGGCCCTGCCTGCCTTCCAGTGAAGCCAGGCGACAGAGCTGCCAAACGCCTTTGGGGTATTTTTGTTGCTTTGCCCGCCAAGCATCTGCTCCCAATTACCCAGAGAGGACAGCTCTGATGCCGGACTTTAAAGCCGGAGATAACGGGCCGCTTCAGACGGCAGAGAAGTTTATGCACTAATTAAACTCGGCGGAAGGAAGCGACGAAGCCAAGCCGTCAGTATTGAGGACCCCTCTGATCAGAACAGGGTCGGCGGGCCTGCTGGACAGATTCATCATCAGGCGCATGGGCTAATTATCAGCAGAGGTTCTCCCTCCAGAGCAGGTGTGACGGCTGAAGAGGTTGTCAGGTTGCAGGGTAGGGGAGGGAGGTTTAGGAGCTGGATTCACACCACAGAGGCGAAAAGTGCCTCGTAAGGGCTCTGTGAGACTCAAATCAAACCTTAATATTTCACACTAGTTGCTGCTATTCTCAGCCGCCCCGGTGGGCCAAAGGGCTCCCAAATGAGCTGAGTCTAGATGCTCAACAACGACGCGCACACACACAACCTGACACCATTCATATACAGATATCTGCAGGGCACTGTTAACTCCCTCGCTTTTTGCCTTGCCTCCTTATTGTTAGCTTCACACTGTCAATCAAGGTCAGGAACTCCAAAACAAGCAGTAGCCTGCTAAATTTGGGCTCTGTTCTTTCTAAAGCATCGTTGCCGCTCCGCTTCATAAATAAAACAAAAACCAACAGAGATGTTACATAAGGAAAAGAAGAAGCAATGATACATCCATTCAAGAAAGCCACTGCATTCTTCTCTGCACTGCGGCTGGCACTTTAACTGCTAACCAGACCAAACTTTCTCTTTTTGTTTTTTTAGGAAAAATTGGAAGATTTTTTTTCACTAATTAAACACAAGTCCGGTCAACTTGACTGTGACCTTGATCCCTCTTATATATACAGTAGCTTCATGTAATTAACAAACATTTTATTACAGCAACCTGATCTCAGTCTCAAAATTTAAGAAAAAAACCTAACATTTATATTTCTATTTCTGCAAACAGAGCCAATGATTAAATATAGCTTCTTTATTGTTTAATTTAAAATATAAGTCCATACTGTCATTGATAAATTATTAAATCATGTCCCTGTGAAATAAAGCTTAATATGTATCTAAATGATAAATTATTAAATTATTTGCCTTTGTTTATTTATTTACTTCAAGATTTAATGACTGATTTTTTTAATATAGAAAGAAAATCATATTATGAGGATAGTTAATTCCTTAGATAGATATACTAAAAGTTTCAAAAGTCACAACGAGTTTCTTAGATTTATTTTGTCTTTTTGTATACACAAGTGTATACAAAAAGACATTTCGTTTAAAACAGCTCTAGACAATTTCATTTTTTAAAGTGCAGCCTCGAAAACCGTAATAAATACTTAAAAAATAGTAATATAAACATATGGCTTTATATTTACAGTTCTAACTCCCCCCCCCCCCCCCCCCCCCCCCCCCCCCCCATGCATAAAAGTTAAAATGACTTTATCGCAACTATTGAGTACAAATCCACATGACAATATTAAGCCTTCTGCATCTCTTTCACTGAGAGTTTTATTTTTCCCACACACTGTGAATGTATCATAGACCCTGTGAGGGACCGAGCCAAAAAATCAGAGAAGCAAAGGGAAGTCATTAATAAAAAAAAATGGTAACAAATTTATTTTGCAAAAATAAGGTTCAAAAGTTCAAACAAGACTGGACCCATCAAGCAAAACAAATGACAAAAATCAACATAATCCAAACCTGACACAGGAAAAGACCTATCTAACTGACACACAAAGGAAACTAATATATATACTGGTTGATCAGACCATTTTGAAACAAGAGGGAAACATAAAATATATTTCCCTAAAGAAAACTACAACAAAAGACCAAACTAATCAGCATCATACTCAATCAGCAACCTATGATCAAGAGGACTTAAATATTAAACTTTCCAAATGTTATTATAGAAAACAAAACCAAATACAGAAACCTAAACCCTTTCTACACCCCTTCTAAAAGTAAGTGGAAGAGTCCAACTAGGCCTCCATGTCAATGAGGAGATACTTTGCAGCTGGGGCCTCCTTTCCTTTACTAGCTTCACTCATGACAGCCTCCCAGGAACTGGCAACTCAAATGAAAAATATATTAATGTACAGAAACCAAACAAGCAAGAAAGGACAAAATTAGTCAACTAAATGTGTGCACCCAAATAGTTAACATATGCCAAATCAAAGTAGAAAAAAAGGAAATACAGTACAATAAAATAGAAGATTTAATGAAAGAATTACCAGACCTTTTGTGTGGTTGTACATGCAGCCATCACAGACCCCAACCTCCAAACAGGATTATTTTCTGTGCGACACGCACACAAACCAGCATACCAATAGTCAACACGCATGCGCAAGACGTCAGAGTAGCATACGTACACTATAAGTGGAAGGAAGTCTACTAGCCTAGTTTATTTAGGTGTGATATGATAGACAAAAAGTTGTAGTTGAAGGTAAAGCACACTGAAAGTCAAGTATGCTAGTTTATTTATGTGTGATGTAATAAACAAAAAGATTTATCCCGAGGTAAACAGAATTAAAGCCAAACTGTTTTAAACACAGACAGCCTTGCTTTCTTTGTTTGCCATTTCACACCCGGACGTAGCAGCTAACCTGGCAGATTGTCATACGGGGGTTAAGTGTATATGAATCTGCAAATGTAACAGAATTCATTGAAATGCTCCTTTCTGCATGCACGCATGCATATTATTCATGGTGTTTTGGTTTGACGGGGTATTGCTGACCTAACAGAACACAGAAGCTATATTAACATATGGCAGTGGTTTGGATTTCACGCTTAGGACGTTGAACTAAAGGCGCTAATTTATAAGATGTGCCGCAAAACCATTGCTACAAAGTTAGCGATTGGTCCAGCAACACCGATGCATCGGCGCATGTTTTGAGTAATAGGGTGGAACTCCTGTGCCGGTGCGCGTATCGTTTCAAGATATTCACGTGACCGATACCGGCGTTATTTCAAAATGACTGAGGCACTAAACTGTGTTTAAAAGCACATCCGTTAACGGGATGAGAAAATCTCAGTTCTTTTGCGGTTCATTTTAAAATTCATGAGGAAATAGGGAGCATCTTCAAGGCTAAAGAAAGGTTTCAGCCGTGTGGGACCATTTTCATCTCAGTTATCACCAAAGTGATCTGAATCCAATTACATTCAAATTTAGTTTTCCATTCTTACTGAACTTATGTTGTGTTCTTTTTTTTTTTTTTGCTAGTCCACAATAATCCTCATTCATATGTTCATCTAAATGTTTACGTTATTTATGGATTGCATCTAAAAATATCAAACATGTTTTCATATGAACAAGTATATTAAACAATAGAACATAACATATTTTTTTTTTTTGTTTCTGCATTTTTTATTGTTATTTTTTCCCTACTTGCTTTGATTCTGTTTTTTTTCCCTATATTTTAATCATGTGAAGCACTTTGTATTGTCTTTGTACTGAATTGTGCTATACAAATAAATTTGCCTTGCCTTTGCCTTGCCTTGCCTATAGCATAGAATGGCCTAAATGATAGTATTACCAGTGTCAGTGTAGTCTGTCAAATAGGCTGCATGTAGGGATTTTAAAAGTATAGCAAGTATCAGTATTGAGTGACACAGTATCACCACAGTCTCAATACAGTTTGGAAATGTGTCAAAACGCTTCATGACGCCTCACCAGCCCATCACTTGTACAAATTTATTCCACCACCTAATAAGTAATTTGCTGCAAAATGAAGAATGTTGTAAACTCTGCATGTCAGCGTCTCCCCGCACACCAATTAAAACGTTAAATCAGCTGTGAAGCCGATGACGTTGGCCTCGTTGTTTGAAAAAGTGATCCCATATGAGAGAAAAAGAAAGAGATGGAGGGAAATCACAGACGCTTTTTATTATGTTATTTAAATCTTTTTTTTTAGATGCTCTAATACCTGTGATTTGATATGTTCAGAGGTTTTGCAAGCATTTTCTAAACTTTCTTTCAAATTCCCAGCACATTAAGATCAGTGCTAATAGTTTTAAGATGCTCTAATAATGCTCTGATCTTTGGACAGTGTTTTAACTTCTGTTTAAGGAATTTGAGGTCAATTTCTTTTTTCTTTCAGCATTTTTTTTAAATATATGCAGAAACGAGCCCTTTTTAATTTACATGTTATTTAGTATTTATATAGTGGCATTATATAGTTGTTTTTGTTTGTTTTTTATATTGTCATCACACCGTCACCAGTACAGAGCGACGAAATGAACTCTGCATTTAACCCATCCCCTTGGGTTGCAGCATGGGGTTAAGGGTCTTGCTCAGGGACCCAGAGTGGCAGTCTGTGGGAGTGGGGCTCGAACTCAGGACCTCAGGATTCCAAGCTATATGCCGCCACTCCTCCTATTTTGTGTTTTTCCTTCGTTTCCTGTTTAGTTGCTGGGATCTTTTTAAAGGTCTAATACTGGCGCTCACCGACATAATGTGGCATCGTTATTTGTGAAAAGCTTTTAGCTGGTTAAGATAAAATGTTTTCAATTTGAAAACAAAAGTTTGACTATATCAATGCAATTTTATGGTCTCTATCGCTTTTAAAAGTAATTTAAACATATCATGAAATATTTTGTTTATTGCAATTATAGCCCAAATATATCGTGATATTATATTCTCTTCATATCGCCCAGCCGTACTCCAAAAGTGCAGTCAAAACGCATTCTGAAATGGCGAGGACTCACTATATGGGTCCTTTTTTTTCTTTCTGCCCCTGCCCCTTAAACATTCTGTGCATGCCACTGCGTTGGAGCATAAACATGACATGAAACATGAAACTTAGGAAAGAGAAGAGACCCAGCCGTTCCAGGAAGTAGAAGTGTTGTGTTGATCTCTATTAGAAAATACAAAAAAAACAACTGTAGATCCTGTCTACATGCAGCTATTTGTCACGTCGACCAGCTGATTTTTTTTTTTTTTTTTACACGTCTTTATCTCAGGTGTCCCCAAAAAATAAAAAATCAGTTAGATCTGTGCATCTGTTTTATTTCAGGTACACAGAGACATTGAACTTGAACTGAAATCTGAGACACTTGATTAAGTGTAATCTATGGTTTTTCTCTCATTGTTCCAGCATCAATACGTGGATTTTCCCACATCTATTGTCGCCATAATCAAAAGAGCACACACACACCGATCATATTGCCAAGCTGCGACTTATTGATTTGCTCTCACTATCTGCGAGCTGACAAATGCCCACCCCAGCCGCCGTGTTTGCCGGCTGCTTTTAAAGTCAGGATCCCCAGCATTCAATAGCGAATCGATCCCGCAGAAAGGATGCAGCGGTGATTAATGGACTTCTTTACTGATCTTGCCGCTGTGTGGCCGAGCAGTGAAGTGATGGATTCAGTGTCTCTCTTTCATCCGTGTCTATTCCTGTGTGTATGTGCGGTCAGGCGGGAGCGGTGAAGGACTACATCAAGATGATGCTGGAGGCAGAGCAGCTGAAGTTCTTGGTGTTCGCCCACCACCTCACCATGCTGCAAGCCTGCACTGAAGCCGCCATCGAGGCCAAGGTGAATTCAGACACATGAAAACACATATGGATGCAGAAGCAATCTAACTATCACCTATGTATTTTCTAATAATAAAAACAGGGAGGCATTTTATTTAAGCTATCAGCAGGATTAAACAAATAAAAAAAAATAAAAAAAAGCTTCCTTACTTTTTAGAGGTATGTTTCTGTGCTTGTTTGAATGTTCTGGTGCTATAATTTATTAGAATCTTGTGTCCTGCATCTAAATGCATCCTTTTATTTTGCTCTTTTTGGAAAAAAAAAAGAAAAACTAGTTATCAGGCTGGTAACAGCTCCACCACAGTGTAACCTTCACATCACTACCTCCTTTGTGCATGTAGATTCCACTCTATAGGAATTGATGAGGAGGGGGAATAAAGGTAAGAGTTCAGTGTACTTATTTAATAAATCTGACATAGATTTTTTTTTTGTTCGTTTCTATAAACAAAACAAGCCTTTTGTTAACCCTTTATAGAGCACTCAGTGAAATATTTTGAAAATCAAAATTTCAAACCAATAGTGTTATTGGAATCCAGGACAAGACCGTATTACCTGTGTAATATTAAAAAAATGTGGATATTTTGATGGCAAAAATGAATGTCAATGTGATAACAAGTAACGCCAACTTGCCCGAATATATTAAAAAGAATAACTAAAGTGCTTCTTTAAGAAAATCACTCTGAGAGGGAAAGAAACACATTTTTTTTTTTTGGTCCAACATAACCTTAAAGGCATTAATGCTGATACTGGCACTTACGTTTTTTAGTTTATAAACCTAAATATAATTTTTAACTAGGCGTATTAACTGTTTTTACCTTTTTTTCTTGACTTAACTTTTTTTCCAACTTAATTTACAGTAGAAAATATATCATTCAAGGGCTCATCTAATTGGTCAAATCCTAAAATAAGATGTACAGCCATGTAGCAGCATCTTTGCTGAATGGCTGGATATAGATTTGTGCTTCTAGACCTCACTGAGGGATGGGGGGGCTCCATTTGTGAGTCAAAAAAAGCTTATTTGCTCTTAAAGGGTTAAAGATAATTTTTTTCTTTTTGTCACCTGTTCCTTTTTTTTTAATTAGGGGTCAGACTCTGTTATGATTTATAGCTGTCATCAAGCTTAAAACAGGAAGAGTCAAAACATATTTTCCTACAAAGAAATACAGATTATTACTTTATGCTGACAAGTAAACCATATTGAATGTAAACAGGGTAATATGGAAGGGACACAATGGGATTGCATGGTTGTGAAACATTTGATGATTGGTGGAAGTCACCTGGAGCTATCTGGTTGTTGTTGTTAATAAGCTCCACCCACTTTTCCTGCCTGCCTATTAGGGTTGTCTCCCATTCACTTGGCTGCTGGGAATGGATATGGTCTTAAATCTTTACTAACAATTCAGGGCATCCTTTTCCACCATACTCTTCACATGAGCTGCCAGGAAAGGAAACGAAACAAAAACAAGGTGATGAGAAACGAATGAATAGATCCTGTTTTATCAGACGAGCTGTGGACAAATGCACTACCTCCCTCAGATCATGGAAACGGATGCAGATGACCCGGATCACATTTTGAGCTCTAATCTGGCCTGTTCTCGACCCGCTGCTTTAAACACAATAGCCGTCTGATTACAGGGACACACCTACACTTCTGCCTGGGAGTCTCATCATAATTATCCAGGTTTCAAATATAGTTTCAGTCATTATTTTCTATTCGGATGGTGTGCGGTTTCAGGGGTCTGGAACATTGGTCAAATTATTTTTGATTATATCCAGCAAATCATTTAGTTGTTTATTCTTTAAACCACTTTGTATTCTTGATTTTTTTTTGTCTTTTTTGAGGAATTTTTATATAATTGATTGGAAATATTGGTTGAGGCTTGTTTTAGGAACCTGCATAGCTTTATAGCAGTATAATGATTTAATGTGGTTTAAATATAAGTAAAAATTATCTGTGGCTCATCAGCTGGGACAGGGTGACTGGAATCTCTGTAAAGGTAGAAACTCAGGTTAGTGACCACAAAACTGACGGGGAATGAAAGGAAGCATGTGAGTCACTAACCTGGTTTTTATGTCCAGTTAGAGCCCAGAGAAAGGGGTGGAAACCAGCTGGATGATAGCTCCACAGCGTGCAGAGCAAGCTGCCCAGAGAGTTCCAGGAGTGAAGCAGAGCAGACTGATGAGCAGAAGCCTGTAGACTAGGAAGAGCCGAAGTATCCGAAGGAAAAATCTAAAGTCGGTGTCGATGCCAAAGCAGAAATCCAGGCCAGAAGATCAGAGATCCGAAGAGATAATGAAGGGAAATCCAAGCCAGGGTCAGGAGACAGTCCCAAGTTCGTTAGCAGGCAGAATCCAAAAAGCAGTTTGAAGACAGGTAAGGCAAAACAGATCAGAACAACAGCAGGCAAAGTAAGAAGTCCAGGAACAGAAACTAGTCAGGATCGGGTAATCAGAAACACGCTAGAGAACTCATACTTACGACTCCAATAATCTGGCACTGATGGCTCGGAACAAGCAGTTTAAATAGGGACTAGAACAGGTGGGAATGAAAACTGTGCAGCGCTAGGCAGGTTGAAGAATGAACCAATAAGTGTCAAGATCATGACATGAACTGAGAGCTCTTGAGATATCAGCTAAAAAGGAAAAGTTGCTGTTTCTGTGCAGTTTAGCTGCTCTTTTCGAGCCACTCCGGCTAACTTTGAGCTGGAACCATTGCGCTCTGCCTCACATCCCCCCTTCCTGAGAGGAGAAAGTGGCTGTTTGTTGACAGTGCTGGCATAGTGCGGTTAGGGTAGGTGCTTCCCATAGCGATATTGATACAGGGGTCATGAAGGTTACCTAGAGATGCATGACTTAAGTAAAACCCCACTCAGTAAAAACATTAGATTTTTTGCGACATAAGACATTTTTTATAAAAGACCGACTCCTCTTCTTACGATAGTCACTACTGATTGTACTTGGTAGCTTACAGTACTCACTAAAGGGAAGATAATCACAGCAATTTGTATTTTTAAGAACTGCAGGATGCAAGTGAAAAACATTTAGATCTGTCACAACTTTCCTGCAACGTTCATTTTGGAGACATTTGTGAGCAAAGAATTACGCTTCACAGTTAACACAAACACACCAAACTTTGGGGTCTTCAGAGGTACTGTCAATTTAATAAAAGTTTTTTCACTTGACATTAGATTTTAAAGGTATGCCGAAATTTTCCGATATTTATTTTTTCGCTGATATCGGACCGATTTTTGGTATCAAAGTCAGAACGAGAAATTCTAATGCGTGTCCAATTTCTGTAAAGAAAAACATTTCAGCTGAAGATGTCAGACACGCCATTTTTGAATAAAATATTAACCTTTATTTATATATATCAACATTAACACCCATATCATACGGTCAATGTCAGAGCTTTAAACGTAGCTGTATCCGTCAAATTGGTAAAACTGGGCTGATATTAGGGCTAAAAAAATCAGATTAATCGCGATTAATTGATTATTTAAATAATTGTCAACTAATGTTTTAATCAATTTATCGTTAAATGGAGAATAGAGACTCAAAAACATGTCTTTGGCTCAAAGAGATCCACCTTGAGCAGCAATTATACCAAAATTGTAAAAAAAAAATTGTAAACATTTTGATTTAAGATGTCTTTCAATATGCTCTATTCAGAACTCCTCAAGTGGAAAAGCTTTATTTTCACTTGGTTTGATTTTGCAAAAAGCCTCCTTTAAGGAACCTTTTACTTTCCAATTATTAATCGATTAAAAACTTAATCCGCAGATTAATCGATTTGCAAAATAATCATTAGTTGCAGCCCTAGCTCATATTAAACAAGAGATGTTTATTTCCATCTAGTTGTGTGGTAATTGTTTGGTCATGTGACAATTATTAATACTCAGTAGTGTAAGAAAATATATGATATTGGTAAATCACAACATTAATATCAGATATAAATATCAGCCCAAGTCATTCATAGTTTTTATACTTGAAAACTGTTTTTCTATTTATTTTAGTGGCAGAATGGGGCTATCATTTTGACACAGATAAACTATTTTAAGCGTTTGCTGTAATACTGGGGGGGAAAAAACTCCATTTTGGTTCCTTAAGTCTGTACAGAGTTCATTAAATGAGCTAGAAGTTATGTTTTTACGTTGGCAGTTAGGATCACTTTGCAACAATAGCACGAGTTTCATATTTCCATTTAACATTACAGCTCCACAGACTTTCATTGCCCATTAAATGTAACCTGGAGATACTAATCTTGCAGAGTGCATTCATATTTCACACTTCCTTTCTGGCTTATCAGACATAATTGGCCCCGTGTTTTTGGTTTTATTCTTTCATCCATGGTCCCGCTGGGTTTATAAAGCAAAACCCAGTCATAGTTGCGATTTACTTTGACAGAGTAATGATGTCTGTGCTCACAAGTCGAGCTTGTACTGACAGCAGACGTTAGCCGTCATGAATTATTCAAATCTTGTGCTTTTATGTCAGTTGCAGGTGTATAATTAAATGCAGGAACAATATTTAAATAATTAAGGAATTACTCATGTCGCCTGATGAGAATCTCCAAATACTTTATATAAGCTGCATCCTTTACTACTGGGCTTCTCAGGAAGTTAACTTTTCTATGCAAGTCCCCCCTCCCAGATCATTACAGGCATCTATTTTCCTAGACTGGCGTCAGCAACCTGTGAAGCAGTTCAAGTGTGCGTTTTTGCGTGTAACAGAGGTCGAGAAGTTGTCATTTGAAAGCAATATGGTTGCACGAGGTGTGATAACACATTCCTCCTTGAGACGCTCACTCTGTGGTGCGTTCGCACTCACCAATTAACAGCGATGAGCTAAAAAAAGGGGGAATGTCAAGCAATGCTGTGAGATGTGAATCTTGGCACAGGCGGGCCATAGCGTCACTTTTTCCACACTCCTCGTGTCTCACCTGTTGGTGAAAAGGTTCTATAAAATATTACACTTTTAGCAAATGATAAGCATCTCTTGTTAATTATCAGGTTGACTTTGTTTTGCTTCTCTTTGGGGTGCTGGTTGACATTTTAAGGTTTCAGTAGTATATCAAAAATCCTTTGTATTCATGCAGAGTTTCATTAAATTGTGTGAGCTGCAAGGTATGGAGACAACATCCTACTGTTGACCAAGGTTTTGCTCCACATGACTCCAAAGAGTGCAGTTACTATAGTAGTACCTCACTGAATATCAAGTTCATGTTTTAATTAAACATGCAATATGTTTTCGGTTGTGTTCCTTTTCTGTTTACCTAGTTTACTAAGGGTCTCTTTGATCAGGGGTTGCATGATGTGTTCATTAAAAAAATCTCTCAAAACTGCATAGAACACAAGGGTAATGAAATAACACCCTCTATTATTATCCTAGCATGAGTCTGTGGCAGCTAAGAAGAAATGGAAACCCAGGCTTTTCATGTTATGAACCATAATTACATTCTGTGAAGAGTGCAGATAACCCGACTTCCCTTATCTCCTCTTGTTATTTGTCTAATCTTTTATTCTATAATCATAAAGGAGTTTTGGATAATAAGGCACTCAGCTCACTACACCTAAAAAAAACCTTCATTCATACTTTATTCATTAGCTTTTTCGTTGCCTGGCAGAAAGATATCTGGCAAAATACATCTGAAAATATTAGATGAAAACTGTTGGAAAAATATAGATCTTGCTTTTTAGTTTAGCTGCTTGTTTTTTAAAACGGGCTAGCATGCTAGCAAGCTAACATCAATATGAGTGTTTTAAAATAAAAAAAATCCCTTTATTGTCACAGTGGTGAAATTGTTTTGCAGTTGAATTGGTAACCATTTTAAAACAAGAAATTTTTACTCTCGTATATATTTTCTTGTTTAATGTTTTGGGAATTATCAGACTAGTTAGGAGCTAAAGGCTAACAGGCTAGCACTATAGTCAATACTCCCGGTTGGAGGCCACTTGCTATGCTTTGGTAAAGCATTACAGGTGCTGGTCATAAAATTAGAATATCATGAAAAAGTAGATTGATTTCAGTAATTCCATTTAAAAAGTGAAACTTGTATATTATATTCATACATTACATACAAACTCATATATTTCAGATGTTTATTTTGTTTAATTTTGATGATTACAAATGACAACAAATGAAAATCTCAAATTCATCATATCAGAAAATTAGAATATTACTGAAGACCAATAAAAACAAAGGATTTATCGAAATGTTGGCCAACTGAAAAGTATGAACATGAAAAGTATGAGCATGTACAGCACTCAGTATTTAGTTGGGCCTCCTTTGGCCTGTATTACTGCAGCAATGCGGCGTGGCATGGAGTCGATCAGTCTGTGGCACTGCTCAGGTGTTATGATAGCCCAGGTTGCTCTAATAGTGGCTTTTAGCTCTTCTGAATTGTTGGGTCTGGTGTATTGCATCTTCTTCTTCACAATACCCCATAGATTTTCTATGGGGTTAAGGTCAGGAGAGTTTGCTGGCCAATTAAGAACAGGGATACCATGGTCCTTCAACCAGGTACTAGTAGCTTTGGCACTGTGTGCAGGTGCCAAGTCCTGTTGGAAAATGAAATCTGCATCTCCAAAAAGTTGGTCAGCTGCAGGAAGCATGAAGTGCTCTAAAACTTCCTGGTATGTGGCTGCGTTGACCCTGGACCTCAGAAAACACAATGGACCAACACCAGCAGATGACATGGCACCCCAAACCATCACTGACTGTGGAAACTTTACACTGGACTTCAAGCAACGTGGATGAAGTGCCTCTCTTCTTTTCCTCCAGACTCTGGGCCCTTGATTTCCAAAGGAAATGCAAAATTTACTTTCATCAGAGAACATGACTTTGGACCACTCACCAGCAGTCCAGTCCTGTTTCTCTTTAGCCCAGGCAAGACGCTTCTGACGCTGTCTGTGGTTCAAGAGTGGCTTGACACAAGGAATGCGACAGCAGAAACCCATGTCTTTCATACGTCTGTGTGTGGTGGTTCTTGAAGCACTCACTCCAGCTGCAGTCCACTCTTTGTGAATCTCCCCCACATTTTTGAATGGGTTTTGTTTCACAATCCTCTCCAGGGTGCGGTTATCTCTCTTGCTTGTACACTTTTTTCGACCACATCTTTTCCTTCCCTTCGCCTCTCTATTAATGTGCTTGGACACTGAGCTCTGTGAACAGCCAGCCTCTTTAGCGATGACCTTTTGTGTCTTGCCCTCCTTGTGCAAGGTGTCGATGGTCGTCTTTTGGACAACTGTCAAGTCAGCAGTCTTCCCCATGATTGTGTAGCCTATAGAACTAGACTGAAAGACCATTTAAAGGCTTTTGCAGGTGGTTTGAGTTAATTAGCTGATTAGAGTGTGGCACCAGGGGCCATCAATTTTGAACCTTTTCACAATATTCAAAAATTCTGATATGATGAATTTGAGATTTTCATTTGTTGTCATTTGTAATCATCAAAATTAAACAAAATAAACATCTGAAATATATGAGTTTGTATGTAATGTATGAATATAATATACAAGTTTCACTTTTTAAATGGAATTACTGAAATCAATCTACTTTTTCATGATATTCTAATTTTATGACCAGCACCTGTAGTTTTAGAAAACAATCAATATTTTATTTAATGTTTTTTTATGTTTTGATTAAGGAGAAATGTCAAATAAAATACCAAACCCAAAAAAGAGAGATCTGGAGAAAAAGAAAAGCATAAATATTAAGCCCATTCCTGTGGCGACTTGGAGTGTACTCCTATACATTATTGTCTTTAGGGCTTATTTGCAGTTTATGTAAAAAAAAAAAAATAAAAATAAAAAAAAAAACTTGAAAAACTGAACTTATATGATTTCACATTTTCAAATTTAAAATAGTTGCTTTGCTTTATTGATCGAGTAGATTTCAGTCTCTTTACAAAAGAGTTATTTTATCTTAAATGTAGTTCAGTACTTTTGTATCTTAGTATGATAAATATTTCCAAAAAGTCTAATGGTAATTTATAATTGAATTTAAGTTAATTTAAGTTAATTTATATCACCATGTGACAACTTTGTATTAGCTTCTTTTCCAGGTTGTTATGCTTTGGATCCCATTAAGTTCTAGCTGTCTCTTTAATCTCTTTTTTACCACATTGTGACCCTTGAACAAACCAGAATAGCTTTAAGCTACCCCTGCTGGTGCATATTGCAGACAAAAAAACAACATTTATGTGGAAAATGTAGAAGTTTTCAATTAATCACAGGTCATGAAAACAGATATCTAATGTCCCTTATTTTTTTTCAGATTAATGATTGGTGATTAATTGTCCAGAGGTGTTTGGAGTTTTTAAGGATTTGTGTAAAAGGAACAAAATACACATTTCCATCAAGTCTTGAAATAAAACAGATGGCACTCAGTAATTTGAATTAATATATGACTTGAAAAATCTGATAAACACTGAGCCTGTTCAACTCACTTTAAGGAAAATATAAAAGTTGCAGAAATTGTCTAAAATTGCTTTACAATCATCTGGAAACATGTTAATTTACTTTTTGAAGGCTTATTAGCTTATGTTGCTAATAGCAATTAGCCTAAATAAGCTCGTAGAAAAACAAAAAAAAAATCTGTTTTTTTTTATTTACAACTAGAACAAGATTTAAATGTAATTCACATCATTCAAATTCCAACTTCTGATTTAAATGATAGTTTAGTTAAATATTTAAAGTTTCTAAATTTAATTTAGCACAAGAAAGGAATAGCTTGCTAAGCAAACAACTAACTACCCTGATATTCTTGTTTAAAAAAATAATGAATACTGCTGCTTTAGGTTGAAAAGTATTTTCGAACTATATTGATGATGCTTATCTGGCACATTTTAAAAGATTAATAGATGTTTGAAACATGTAACTATGTCCTCTGGTCTGGCAGGCGGGTTACATCCGAATCGATGGCAGTGTGCCCTCATCGGAACGAATCAAGTTAGTCCACAAATTCCAGAACGATCCGGACACCAGAGTGGCCATCCTCAGCATCCAAGCAGCCGGACAGGTAATAGGATGAAATACTTTATTCCACACCATAACTCAACCTAAAATCTTTCTGTCATTAGAAAAAAATGAAACAATTTCAATTCAGTTTTTTCTGTTTCTATTTAGTTTATTTATATAGCACCAATTTAAAACACATGTCATCTCAAGGCACTTAACAGCTCATCAGATCATACAAGTCAAATTGATTTAAAGTTTTCTATCTAAGGAAAACCAGTTGATTGCATTGACTCATTGACACGAATTAATCCCTCATAATAAGCATGCTTGTAGCGACAGTGGAGAGGAAAAACTCCCTTTTAACAGGAAGAAACCTCCAGCAGGACCAGGTTTAGTGTGAGCCGCCATCTGCTGAGGCCGACTGGGGTTCAAGGAGACAGAAGCAGAGATGGAAAAAGCAGCTGTAAAAGGAAACACACAACTAAGCAGACGAGCTCCGAGCCAACTCCCATGTCAGAGGATAAAGAGAGCACATCCAGCCAGTCACAGTCAGAAAAACAGGACTACAGTGTTGATGGCAGTAGCACAGCTGATATTTCTCTCCAGGATGGAGTCACAGCCAAACAGGAACAGAGGAGGAGAAGCTACTATAAGAAAAAGCAGAGAGCATAAAAGCATAATGTTAAAGATTAAACTAACAGATTCTGTAGAGTGGGAGAATAAGTTCGCACACAGAGTGGCTCAGGATAACCTGAGCCACTCTAACTATAAGCTTTATAAAATGGAAAGTTTTAAGCCTACCCTTAAAAGTAGACAGGGTGTCTGACTCACGGACTAAACATGAGCTTGATGGTAATATCAAAAAGATATATAAATTTATAAATGACACTTTGAATGCTTAAATGCCATTCAGATTATAATGATGTATTATTAAGAGAACTGGAGTTCTTAATTTTATCTGAGTGAATTTAGTCTTTTTTCCTCAGATTATGCTAGTAAGGTGTGTGTTTGTTCTGTCTAGGGTTTGACCTTCACTGCTGCCAGCCATGTGGTGTTTGCTGAGCTCTACTGGAACCCCGGACACATGAAGCAGGCGGAAGACCGCGCTCACCGCATCGGGCAGACATCCTCTGTCAACGTGCACTACCTCATTGCCAAGGGCACCTTTGACAACGTCATGTGGTCCATGCTCAACAGGAAGGTAGCAGCAATGACATTATGGGAACATGCTGGGACTAATTCATGCAAATCTTCTGGAACTTGTGTTTGAGTGTCACGCTTAGTCTGAATGAAGCGTGACTGTGGAAAAAAAATAATAAATGACATCTACTGACGGAGTAAATCCGAATGTTGTTTTTAATTCCAGGAAACAGTTACCGGTAGCACCCTGAACGGCAGGAAGGAATACCTGAAGGCTGATGAGGGTGACAAGGACAAGTGGGAGTTCCTCAGCTTTGCCAATGCTTGGACTCCAAGTGAGATGACGCTACCGCTGGAGGGAAACACAGTAAATGTCAGAGATGACATTTTCTTCACCCATGTGAGTTTTCCAAAAAAGTTTCACTGAAACTCTTGTAATTATTTCACACGTGGAGCACATGTTAATCACCTGTTACAGTGTCTTGCAAGCACTTTAACTCCTTGTCATTTCTACACATTAGCATTATGGATTTTGCATAACTGAAAGGTAGAAAAAAATGCATAAAAATCAGTGAATTTAAATTCTTAAAGTGAAATACTTTATAAGAAAAACAGTCAGGAAAGGCAGATAATTGTGAAGGCTGCATGCGGACGGGTGCACAATCTCAAATTAATTTTGTGCCTGTTCTTTTTAATTCAAGCAATACATCTGTGTGCGTTTGTGTTCGCTGACTGAAGAGGTGCTTGTGGCGTGTGATAAAAAGCAGGCCTTTATGGGGAGAAAAAAACCTGTTTGGAGCTCGGTAAACATAGGAAAGAAGGGGATCCGACCGCAAGCATTCTCATTTAAACCTTACTTGCGAAATTGGAAGACAAATAACACTAGAGCATGTTGGTGGTAGTATTATGCTAAGGGTCATTTGTATGACCCTAAAATGCAGCTGTGGCATCATTTAGAGCCTGGCATCTGTCAGAATGGGATGGAAAAAAGGATTTTCACAGTCGCCCTGCATCCTCACCCCAAAAGACTTAGAGCTGGTTTGAATCTCACTCTTTTTGTATTTTATTTACCCAGCTATATAAAATATAAAAACACAAAATAACATTTGTGTTTTGATTTCTATGTACCTGGATTACATCCACATCTGTAGAGGTGAAGTGACTGTTATTCTAACCTGAGCTTACATTGTTTTTTATCAGTTTGAGAAAGAGAAGCAACACGACATCCGCTCGTTCTTCTCGCCAAGTGCCAGCAAGGAGAAGAAGAGGAAGAGAACAGGCGACGAGGAGCCGATGGAGCCAGCTGAACCGGCTGGTAACGGGGCCGACTCTGAAAGCCCGCCCTCTGAAAAAGTCGACCAGGATTTTTCACCTCAGCTGAAGAAGCTTCGGACACCCAAGTCCAGCCCGTGCGCCGGGCCTCGATTCGCTGGGAAACGTAGGTCCACCCTTAGACTGAGCAGCCCAGGAAGTCTGAGCCCATTCGTCCCCACAAAGCTTCCACAACCGGATCCTCCGTCGACCTGGAGCTGCGGGGCCTGCACCTACTCCAACAGCGGCCTGCTGCCTTACTGCGAGATGTGCGAGTTCCCACGCTCATCTTCTGCGGTCAAACCAGGTAAGGCGGAGAGGCGAGACACAACACAGCGTGTGCTCTACCCCTCCCAGCTTTTTATGTCTTCTTTTTAATTCGCAAACAATCCGACTGGTTTGATTTGAAAAAGGACAACACTGCCCCCATCTCCTGCTGAAACTGAAGCTCCTGGAGCTTAAAAAAAAAAACAACATTCTGTGCTTTATTTTCCTCCCTGTCAATATCAATCTGAGCAGTCTGTTGACATTATACTTTTGAACAGCATTACAGATTTCACCAGATGGAGACGCGATATAGAGAAAGATGGAGGCCGCCTTGCCAGCGTCTGAAATAGCTCTGCTCGGAGAGTATTGTCTATCTCTCTCTCTTCCTGCAGATGACAGGGGCACAGTATAAATCTCACCTGTCAAGCCAGGAAAGAGAGAAAGCAGGCGGCAGCTTCTGCTGCAAGCGCCTCACACAAAGTTGGGGAAAAGTTGAGCTGGCTCTCAGTAATGTCTCTGACAGCCTATGATTGTATCTTGCAGAAGAGCAGGGGAGGGAATTAGGAGCTGGCAGGCTACAGGTCCAAACTGCTTTCAATGTCTGAGGTGCTTCACGAATCGCCTGAGAGGCGACTAACATGAAAAAGATTCAAAACTAGAATGACGTACGAAAAGTCATCACACTTTAGGTGGGGTGGGGGAAAAAAATCCAAGTTTTACCCAGAGTTCAAAGACTCTGAAATGCAATAAAGGATTTTAAAGTGAAATGTATGACACCTAGTGCTCACTATTTCTTCAAGAATGTAGTTTGTTTTAATTAGTTGCTTTCAACAATGTGTCACATTGGCAGTATTTTCCGCCAAATTTACAAAATGCAACAAATTGAAGAAATACTTCAACCCTCATAAAGTCTTTACATTTAAAATAATACCCTTTAGATTGATCGGCCTTGGTTGCAAATTTTCTACTCGACAGGTAAAGTTTTGCATGCTAATTGAGTCTGACATAGTGGAAAAATGTCCAATCTTCTTTTGGAAAGCAAGCATGCATGAGCGATGCAAACAGCAACTTTTAAACAGAGTGTGCACGGGGAGAAATGGGCTCGTGCACGCTCTTGGGAGCGGGTACAGGGTTATTTATGTGCTTTTTTTTTTTGCAAAAATCCTTCAATATACTTTTAATGTTTTTTTGTAAATTTCTTCCTTTCAAGCTTTGTTTATTATTTATAAAGGATATTAATTTAAAAGAAACGTAAAATCATGTTGATTAAAACTCCAAATGTCATTGGGCCTTAATGACAAGCCTACATCTGCAGAAAAAGCGGTCCAACTTGGAGTTTCTACAATGTTGTCAGGAGGAATGGGCCAAATTTTAAGAAAACAACTGTGAAAGTATTCTAGAAACATACCATAAATATTTAGGAGATATATTTTTCATCCGATATTAAATAAAGAACTATTTATAAAGTTAATCTCTTTATTCTGGCATTTAGAAAGTATTTCTAACTGACCTAAAAAAGGCTTCATTTACCCTCAAACAGTGAGAAATTATGTAGTTATAAACTCTACATAAATATTTGGTTTCAACTGGAGTTACAGAAGAACGGAGATGATTATATTCTGAGTAAAACTGATGCTCCAGTTTCCTTGTATCTGACATTCCTTAATTACCACCAAAGTATCTTAAATGCTTGGCAGGTCCTATATCAAGTTTCCAGCAACTATTGAATGTGCTGAAGGTCTGTTTACAGCTTTGTCCAGTGGAAGCCGACACACTTGAGATGAGCAGTTTTTTTTTTCTTTATTTCTTTAGCTCACACCCACACAAAGACACAATACACCCCGCCTCCTTTTTTTATCCTCAGCTGCAGCAGATGCTTGATAACTATTCAGCATTCACACACCTCTTTGTCACAAGCACCACTCTGCATTCACGGCAGCGGGGCTGTGTCAGCTTGCTAGACAGGGAATTTAACAACCTGCTAAATTTGTAAATGACAGACTGTGCGGGAAAATAACAACTGTATTTATGGAGATATCTCTCAGCTTGCCACTGAAATCCTCGGTTCTCCAAGATGTAAGAAAAATAATCACGTGGAAGACTGTGATGTGACATGAGAAATGTTATCCCTTCAAGAGCAACATTTCTTTTTTTTTTTAAGTGTGACTACACAGCGAACAGGGAGAGTTTGAATCATAGAATACAGTCGTGTTATACAAGGATATCAGGCAATAAGATTAAAAATAAGGAATTCTGGTTTTCTATGATGGGTTTTTGCAGCGCTGCTCAGTGGAGCAGTAGGTAGCACTGCTGCCTTGCAGCAAGAAGGTTAAAAACTAATATGATGTAATAACGTAAAATCAAGGCCACAAAGTGTAAAAGAAAAACGGTGTTCCCCTTTAAGCCACATGGTATAAAATGCATTAGAAAATATCACCTACTGCACCTTTTAAGCCTGTTTGTGGTTGCCACGACCTGGATAACAGAAAATTGACAGGCGTATATACCTGGTTATATAACTACCAATGATGAAGTGAGACTTTTATTAAAAAAAATGGTTGGTGGCTGTTGCTCTTAGTGATATCCTCAGACCCACCAGTCATATAGAACCCATTTCTGAACTTAAATCACACTCTACACCAATAATCGTGTAAATTCCTATAATTGTTAGGAAAAGTATATTCCTGCATTGCCATGGTTGCTCTGAACTAATACCACGCCCACGGCTTTAGTTCTAAAGCCGTGGGCGTGGTATTAGATTCCAAAGGGCCGTGGTCTTAGATTCCATAGGGGTGGTCTTAGATTACATTGTGATGTTATTGGTATTCCAGAACACTGGACACTGGTTCAGTTGCTACTAGCCCAGTCAAGAGGTAACATCTACTTGGAGAGAAACTATTTCTCAGTGACGTTAGATTACAATTACTTCAGATAACAAGTTAGCATGGCATTTATTGTTGGTTTTGCTGTTGGGGCCCTTGTTACTAAGGGAATGAAAAAGCTATTTTCCTACTTCAGTGAAGAAAATGCAATGCCTGACCATAGTTCCCAGGATGAGGGGATCAACTTTCAATGCACAGGTAATGTTTTGACCTTGGGGAATGTTGAACCCAGCAGGAAAAGTGATGAAAGTAACTTTGAAAAGACAAAAAATACAACTAATGGATCACTTCACAATAAAATCAGGAAAAAGATGGAACTTGACGCATATTTAGAAAAAATACTACACAGAGATGATTACCCCAGAGAAGAGGATGGTAAAGCAAATAAATTGATCAACCCAGATTTCACCCTGAATGAAGGTACAGCAGAGCAAGGTACTTCTGAAGACCCTCAAAAGGAAATCAAGATAAAGGAGGAATTTGACAAATGTTTAGGTCAAATACTAAACCAGGTAGATACTGTGTTCAAAGACGGTGAAACAAATCAATGTGTCAACCCAGATTTCATCCTGAATGAAGGTACAGTAGAGCAAGGTACTTCTGAAGACCCTCAAAAGGAAATCAAGATAAAGGAGGAATTTGATAAATGTTTAGGTCAAATACTAAACCAGGTAGATACTGTCTTCAAAGACGGTGAAACAAATCAATGTGTCAACCCAGATTTCACCCTGAATGAAGGTACAGAAGAGCAATGTTCTTCTGAAGACCCTCAAAAGGAAATCAAGATAAAGGAGGAATTTGATAAATGTTTAGGTCAAATACTAAACCAGGTAGATACTGTCTTCAAAGACGGTGAAACAAATCAATGTGTCAACCCAGATTTCACCCTGAATGAAGGTACAGCAGAGCAAGGTACTTCTGAAGACCCTCAAAAGGAAATCAAGATAAAGGAGGAATTTGATAAATGTTTAGGTCAAATACTAAACCAGGTAGATACTTTCTTCAAAGACTGTGAAACAAATCAATGTTTCTACCCAGATTTCACCCTGAATGAAGGTACAGCAGAGCAATGTTCTTCTGAAGACCCTCGACAGGAACTCAAGATAAAGGAGGAACTTGACGCTAGTTTAGGTCCAATACTAAACGTTGTAGATACTTTCTTCAAAGAGGTTGAAACAAATAATTGTACCTACCCAGATTTCACCCTGAATGAAGGTAGAGCAGAGCAAGGTACTTCTGAAGGCCCGCAAAAGGAAATCAAGATAAAGGAGGAATTTGACAAATGTTTAGGTCAAATACTAAACCAGGTAGATACTTTCTTCAAAGAGGGTGAAACAAATCAATGTGTCTTCCCAGATTTGGACACAAATAGAGTTACAATGGAGGACCGAACCGAAAGACAACGAACCTTTAAAGATGCTCAAAATAATATGATGGAGGGATTTGGCTTCTGTTTAGATAACATACTAAACAGCTTAGTTAATTCCTCTGAAGAAGATGGTAAAACAAACTCTTTTGTCGACGCAGAATTTCACCTAAATGGAGTTGCAATGGAAGGCCAGACTGCAAGTGAAGGAATATTTGAAGGTTCTGAAAATGAAATGACAGCGGGAGAACTTGACTTCTATTTAGATGAAATAGCAGAAGGTAAATATATTTTCTCCAGAGAAGAAGATGTTAAAACAAATGATTTGTTCTCTCTGGATTTTGCCATAAATCAAGTGACTGATGACGAAACTAAAAGTCAGGGAACCGATGTAGACCCTCAAGACGAAAGCATGACAGATGAAGATTTTAACACCTGGTTAAATGAAATTACGGACAGTGAAGATGATATCTCCAAAGCAGAAGACATTCAAATAAATGAAATGGTCTGTCCAGATATTTCCCTAAATCAAGTCACAAATGAGGACAAAACTAAAAGTCAGGGAACTGATGAAGACTCTCAAGATGACAGCATATCAGATGAAGATTTTGACACCTGGTTAAATGAATTTACGGACAGTGAAGATCATATCTCCAAAGCAGAAGACATTCAAATAAATGAAATGGTCTGTCCAGATATTGCCCTAAATCAAGTCACAAATGAGGACAAAACTAAAAGTCAGGGAACCGATGAAGACCCTCAAGATGAAAGCATCACAGATGAAGATTTTGA